TCTCGCTGGCTGGGTCAGTAACCAGGGGAAACTGGGGAAGAGTTCATTTCAATAGAACAAATGGGAACAAATTGATCCACTCTCGCTGCTGGTTTTTTTTTTTTTGGAGTTACGTTGAAAAAGGAGGCTGAACGCTGTGAGGTCATATGCCACTACAGCACAACACCCAAAAAATAACCTTTGGACAGACGTTTAGACGCCCGTTCCTCGACTCTCTTCAAGTGCAGAGCAGAACCTCGGGCTAAAGTTGAACAGCTCCAGCAGACAGTTTGAGCCCGTGGTGCTGCGTTAGTCAGGTGTTCTTATCGGGGCGTAAAGTAACGGTTCATCTGTTTCAACTAATTCAAGGCAAGAACAGATTCTGTGACTCTTTTGAGACACCTGTACCTGGGATTGTGTGGAGAACACCTGTGTGTGTTTAAATCCCCCCCCTCAGGTAATGAGTAGAACACAAGCTCGATCTGTGGCGACTGTCCTCGTCTTAAAAACATGCTCATGAACACAGGGAGCTTTAAGGGCGGTTCGGTTAGGAGTTTTTAAAAAAAGGAGCCATGTAGATTCATTGCATCCTTTTTGAATGTCTCTGTGCATTACAGGTAAAACAAAATATCGATAGGGCGATATGTTGTCGTCTTGACTCGTGTGATACAATTATCAAATCCTTGAAGCCAAATATCAAGATGTATTTTTTTTTTTTAATACAGTACTTTACTTTCTGTTTGAATTCAACCCTGCTTATATTTCAAAATAAGGTAAGGACCTTCTGTTATATCAAAGGTTAAGACATTAACTTAACCACGGAAAAGGGAACTTGTTACGGATCAAAAAACCTAAAGAAAACAGCCCAATGGAACGGATCATAAGGTGGATATTAGTTTTGACTCGTCAGCTGAGCCGTCTGAGTTGAAATGAGACATTCAAAGGTGCCGCAGAGTCTTTCTTTTCCGTCACTGTGACTACAGGGAGACACTGAGGAGGTTTATCCACTGTGCACCCAAAAAGATAAAATAGTATGAGATTAATGGTGATTTAAAAAAAGGCTGGTAGCCTAGTGATCCTCCAAGCAGGCGGCCCGGGATCGAATCCAACCTGTGGCTGCTTTCCCATATGTGGTTCCCCACACTCTCTCTCTCCCTGATTCCTCCACTTTCCTTTCTATTAATGAAGTCACAAAAGGCCCCAAAATAAAAACCTTTAAAAATCAGGGAGAGAGAGAGAGTGGATTATGACATGTGGGAGGGAAACCACAGGTCGCCTGCTTGGAGGACTGCAGCCTCCATACTACGTACTTGGGGCCCACGCTCAAGCCACTACGCTACCTTCGTCCCCTCCTAAAATTTTAAGAGGCATTTTGTATTCTTAAAATATCCAGATATATATTATCGCAAATATCTCTTATTAGAATTACAGAATCGCTGTATCATGATCAAATCAGTAACATAGGCCAAGCACTCAGTATCCATCAATGGTCTGCAGGATGGAGCAGGTCAGAAGTATATTAAATACTCAAAAAGTGAATCCATGACACTGTTTTTAATTGAGTGCTTCGAAGTTGATTTGAGCTCATTAATGTAGTTTTGCTTTTTTCTAGAATATCTTCCTTTTGTGAGATGACTCGTCATAAACATCAGAAAATAGTTCAAATTAAATTTGATTTGAAAATCTATTTTGTGTTTCAGTGAACCCCGGGGAGGATTCAGCTGCAGACCACACCTGGCTCTCACTTTCCCTGCACACGTCTGGATAAATGACTTTGAGTAATCAAGCGTCCTGCTAAGTGAAAGTGGCTGGACTCACCACGCTGCTGCAACAGACAGACAGACAGACACACACAGACAGACAGACAGACAGACAGACTGACAGTCGTGGAGGAGTTCAGTTCAGCAGTCTTCTTTCTCCACTAATCTCTGCGCAGACTTCAGAAGGAGTATTTAAAAAAGGAGAAATAACCACTCTACTAGTCTAATTGTTGTTTACAGTCCACTCCAAATTGCTGGAAATAGTTTTTTGCTTGAAATAGATGAAAACAAAGCAGACTGTAAAAAACAACAACAACACAGTGCAGAGCTGCAGCAGGAAAGTCTGCGGCTGTCAACATTCTCCAGAGTCTCTCCGTATGAATGAGTCATGTCTGCACGTCAGTACAGCTGAGCAAGGTGCTGCTACAGACACACAAAATATCTCCTCATGTAGGTTTGTGTACGCTTCAGTGTTTATCCAGCTCTGCATGGGTCTGTAAACCTTTCTGTGTTCTAACCTCTCTTGATCCTAGTTTGAGCACGTTTCTGCTCGTGGAGCTTATTAGAAACATGCAGAGGCTTTTTAGGTCGGGTACAATCACTTCTATCTGAACCACTTCTCTTGACCGCTTCCATCGCTGCAACACCTGTTGACCTGATAACTGCTCTCATATCTGACAAACAGAGGGGCGTCCAAAACGACTGTTTGGGGGTACATTAAAACTGCCTACAGCGACCAGAATCTAAAGTTAGAAGGAGGACATATTGGCTGCTGCATTGTTGTCAGAGAAGCACTTCAACATTGCATGTTTCCTTCATGTCTGATCATACAGTGAGGTCATCTTATTTGAGTTTTTGATAAAATACGACTGTGGCTGGTCCCATTTTGCAGCAAAAGAACAAATGAAGAAGATATTCAAAAAAGCAGAAACAGTTCAATAAGTTGATTTAAAGGTGAGAAATAAAAACATTATCCGACGTCCTTAAGTCTTTAAAGTTTGTTAAACCTTCATTGGTTAAAAAAAAAGGTTAAAAAATATATTTTTTTAAACCTAACAGGCTAAAAGTCCTAAATTAAATGACTAAATATCGTTCCTTTTTTTTTTTTAAAAAGGAACGATAAGACACATGCAGCCGTTATTATGACGACACTCTCTTCAGGTCAAAGGTCGCCGTAGCTTCATTCACAATAATTGCTCTTTGACCCGAGGCTCAAGCAAAACTGCAGCTATAGGCCACTGCCATAAAGCGGTAATCTCTGCTGTGCTGCATCACCATGGTAACACGCCTGCCAATAACTACTGTGGATGGCAGGGTGCGCCTTTCATGGCACCGCTACACCCATCTGACTCACTCGCTCGCTCGCTCGCTCACACACACAAACACACACGGCTGTCATTATTACAAAACCTGATTGCAAAACATCATTAGCAGCGTGCCAAAGTGTGCCGGTGCCAAAACGAGACATCATGTGGATCCCACAGACAGGTCGGCAGAGCGAGACACACTTGGAGCTCCTTTTCCTCTTCTGCCGTCTTATTTCTCTACATCTTTCCCCTCTCCATGTCTGTCCTCCTCTCCTCCATTGTTACAGCTCCTTTTCTTCCCTTAACCTCTCCTCTCTGATCTACTCCTCTAAAATCTCAGCCTCTCAGCCAGCTGGCATCGGGACGCAAAACCTTCTTCCACCGTGGCACCGTGTCAGGCCCGAGAGAGAGCGAGAGAAACCAAAGGCTGAGAGGGAGAGAGAGAGGGTGATGAGTACGCTAAAAGCAACAGTGAGAAAAGAAGAAGAGGGAAGGGAAAAGAAGAAGAGGGGTGACAGGTAAGGACCGCAGGTGGATAAAGAAAAAGCTGAGTGGACAAGGGGAAAAGAGTACAGAGGAAAGGAAATCGAAAAAGAACCAAGGAGATAGAGGACAACAAGACAAGTGGATGACAGAGTTTGACAGGCACTATCTTGAATTTCCTCTTTGTTTCTCTTGTCATTTGGAAACTGTTTAAAAAAGTGACCCACTTAAACAAACATCCACAGTTTGTGTTGTCGAGTACACGTTGGACAAAACTTCTCCTGGATCGTGAGGTTTTTAATCAAGATTCACAGACGACTCGAGGGGGAAACTAGGTTAACGACTCAAGATGTGTGTCGTCCTTGATCATGAGCATGCTAATGATCCACAGAGTCTTCAATATGTAGCTCCGTCCAGCAGATAGTTTAGAAACTGAAGAAGCCTTTGAGAGGAGGAGAGGTGAAACGTCTTCAAGATCTTCAACCAGTCCGGTCGTCTTTGGATCAAGCTTCATATCTCTCATTTATAACAATTCATTAGTTAGAACTGCTTCAAGTGCAGCAAGACATGTCAGACAAACTGAATTCATTCTGCAATGTTAGATCCTCATAAACACTGTGTCCCTAAAACTCATTGTTGTTCAGGTCTTATCTGCAACAAGAACAAGAAGCATACATCCTTCAGACCTGTGCTTAAAACGACTTCTCAAACCGAGCATGGAGCTGCTGTGAAAGAGCCATCGTGTTAAAGCATTGAAGGCATATTCCATTAAAGATAACTGAATAAATGACTGACATAAGGAAGAGATCTGTTTAGACTATTTCAGAAAGCATGCCTGAACATTTCTTCTAAAATTCTGGACGAAATGTTAAATTGCTCTTTCACACATGATGTCGCTCACATTGGGGTAGATTCTCCCTGTGGGAGGAGAGGATGGGGGGGTCTTAGGAGGCCGTTAACAAGAACGGTGCAGAATAGGTGGACTTGGGGCGCCGGGTGGCCTAGTGGTTAACGTGAGCGCCACATGTAGGGAAGACGTAGTCCTCAAAGCAGGCGGCCCAGGTTCCTGAACGTGGAACCTGTTCAGGAACAGTGGCTCCTTTCCTGAACGTCATTGCCCACTCTCTCTCTCTCTCTCTCTGATTTCTGACTCTTTTCACTGTCCTATATCTACAGAAAGGCATAAAAAGCCCAGAAATAATCCTTTTTTTTTTTTATTAAAGGAGGACGAAGCGACAAAGTCTGACACTTTCATGACAGTTGTTCTCTTTCTATCAATGCAATATGTAAATGGACACGTTCCCAATATCATGAGAGAGTATAAAGCAGCTTCAACGTCAGCACCGGTTGCACGTTTCATCGTCACCCCTCTCCCCACTCGCTCACGGTCAGTTTCCTTGAATATTACCTGCTGCATTGCTTTTTTTTTAATTTCTAACCTGTCATTCACCAAACAGTACATCACGCTTACCTTTGGCTCCATGGAGATGAAACTATGGCGACCACGACTCGACAAAGTCGACCTCTTGATGGTCCGGCTATGGAAGAAGTGATAGTGGTCTTTGAGATCCCCAATCTGAAAAACAATTATACAGATGTTAGGGTTAATGAACTGTTTCTGTGTGATAACAGACACATCAAACATACACCTGACAGATACTGCACACATTACAGGTGGGTGTAACAACTGATACAACATAGTGTCTCTATATTTTGTGTGCCAATATAATATTGTCTCATGGCCGGTAAGTATCTAGATTTTTATTATGTCGTCGTCCAAACATGTTTGTGTCCAGTTAAGGTTGATTAGACTGAAATACCAAAAGGTTTTTAACTCTGATCACAGTGTTGGTCAGTCAGTGGGCTTGACTCTCATCGTGTAGAAACAAAAAGACTGAAGTGAGATGAAGAGACTGAAAATGTTTTCTTATTTGACAAACTAGTTCTTAATGTAGTTTCATTTTGTGGACATAATATGAAGGTAAAAAAGTTAAATCCCAGTTTATAGTATCGCAATTCTGAGTATATCACAACATGTTTAAAGGCTTTACATGCGATTTTTTAGATCCAGCAGATGTCGCCCTTGAGCACCAGCATGAAACCAAAACAACTCGCGCTGCATTGTTGTGTTAGCATGCTAATGCTAGCGATCTTTATTATGCTTGTATCTTCACACTGCATGTAAATTTACCTGAAATGAGCGTGATCTAGAAACACAGTTAAGCAGTGAGTACAGTATGTTATTCTTCTTTTCTCTAGTCCCTCAATTAAACAACTTTTATACACGAGGGGAGGAGTCAGCCGGCCGTCCGGGCGATGTTAACAAACTGAAGATAGGACTCTGAAAACATCACAGACAGTGGGACTCGGGTGTTACACCCATTGTAGACGGTCATGACTCACAGTTATTTTCAGAGGATATAATTGATTTATATTACATTTAAATCGCATATAAAGCCTTTAAAATTGCAATAATATAGATTTGTGACTAAAATATTGTGATAATATCGTATCGTGGGGACTCTGGTGATTCCCACCCCTGATACACGAGTTCAGAGTTTATCACATCGATTATTCATGTGAAAAGTAAACTCTTGTTGTGAGTGACAGTGAGCCATCAGGGCTGAAGTACTCAATGAGTTCTAGAAAATACATGTGGAGATGTCAGAAGAAGCAGTAAAATAATGTGTTATGTTTGGTTAAGGTTTTCTGTGTTTAAGAAAAGTTTATTGAACAACATGGACAGAGAGACATGAAAACCCAGTCAGACTCTCACAAAGCGACAGAGAGATGTGGAGGACAGAGGATCCGCAGACAGACTGCAGGCTGCTGCAGGAAGCTGATTAGTTTTAATAATTGATAAAGACCACACAATCCCTTTAGATGATCAGACTGTCATGGCTGCCAAGGCTCCTGTGGTGTGTCACTGATCCACGACTGAGCACCACCTCCACCTCAGATCCCATCAGATCATCTTTCAGCTCAAAGCTCCTGCACACTTTCAGATACCACATGTTTAAAAATGTGTCGCTTTAATCTTCTATGGTATCAAGAAGCTCTGAAGCTTTTTTAAAAACCTACAGATCATCAAATTTTCACCCAAAGCTGCCTTTAAGGACGTGGGAGCTGCAGCTTTCCAGGTCAGAAAACACAAATACATTTTTTTTTTACATCTCAAAAGATGTAAAAGCTTCTGTTATGTCTCTAACAAACAGACAGAGAACAAAGGAGGGGATGCAGTTTAGACAGTGTGCAGGAATTCGCATTTAATTTGTGATGATGAAAACCGGGCATGAATGGGTGCCCAGTACTTCTATTTTTGTTGCCGTAGTGTTGTTTTATTTTTATGGTATCATATCTTATCCAGTGTTTCCTCTACCTTTTGTTTAAGAAGGCGGCCTTCCACCCCATTCGACCACCGTGCAAATACTCAAACTCTGCTCACATGTTCCTACTGAGAGTCAGTTTTTGCCGTTTTCACACATGCACTCCTGAAAAAAGCTGGATCATTTCAGGAGGACTTCAACGGGAATTCTCCTGACCTGGCTGTTCACATATGCTACTCACAGCGGGAAATTATCCCTGTCAGACAGGGGGAGGGGCTGGGGGTCTCCTGAGGTAAGACGTGATGTAAAAAAAACAATGCGGAAGTAGAGGATGAAGCAACAGAGTCCGCTACACGACGCTATAATGAGAATATTTGCCTTTATATCAATGCTATGTGTAATCCAATGGAATGACAACATCCACAAAAGAGAGGAGAACAACATACTGATGAACAGAAAACAGAATGCAGACGTTTAATTACGTGCACGGAGATCGTAGTGGTCGCGTGCAGACACACTGTATATAAACGTCATTCTCTTTCTATTGGCTCAAATTGAAATCTCCGGATTATATGCTGCTGCGTTCAGACATCAGCTCACTCAGACTTTCTGCGGATAAAATACTAGAGGCCTGGAAAGAAACAAGACTGCGCGAAAAATGCGGCTGTTTGCGTTCACACATAGCCTAAAGCCAAATCTCTGGAGTTTTTGAGGAGATTTCCGTATGTGTGAAAAGGGTTTATGTGACAGACAGATCTCCTTTATGTCTCTGAGGCAGCGCCAGAATTTAGAAGTTTGGCTGAGTCTCTTAACTGATGAAGTTACAACTGGTTATGTTTTCTTATACCATATTTTTCAGGCTTTTTTTGTAAAAATATTGTCTCTGAAACATTCACGACACTGAGATGTGACATTTAATATTTTAACTGACACGCGCGCGTAAAGCATAGCTGCTCTTACAGCTAAAGGATGGAATAGACCAATACATGCATACTTGGCACTTGCTCACTTTGCCGACCCGGTGGTCCGCCTATACCACAGAAACATGCCACTCTATGAGAATCAGAAGCAATAAATTTCCACCAAACATGAAACATTATCTAAACACGCAGCACACATTACAGAGCCCGGAGGACTCGGATTAAAATGCATTCTGACATACAAAAAAAATGTGCCTCCATTATAGGCGGCTGCCACTTTGGATGCTTCTCATAGGTCTCAACAGGTCTCAACATATCGTGCTTCCACTGCCTATTTAATCTACCCGACATCTGCACTGCCATTAGCGAGCCACCCCTTCCCTGTAGGAGTGTCTGCCAACGACGAGCTGCTGGAAAAGCTCTGCACACAGAATTAAATACAAACCCTTTAAGCTCGGGTCTAAACTCCTGCCACAACGCTCCTCTCACAGTCGCAGCCACGAGCAAATCACTCACTTGTTCACAGCTACAGAGTGGCAATTTGAAAATCTCAATCTTTATCACAACTTCCTGATTTTATAAGTGCAGCTTCCTAACACATTATCTCTCACATTACCGCTGTTCAAATCTGTATATTTGTCTTTAATGTTATATGTGTAACTACAGATGCACCAATAGTGACAATCACGGCTGATACTGATGTTTAAGATAACAAAAAAAGCCGATTGCTGATTCCAATCACAATGTGTTTTTCAATACGAGCCATGTGATTGGTTGTGTTTAAATTGATCTGTGTGGTCCCTCCTCTTAAAATGTAAATGTCTAATAAAGTCCATGTTGCTGATATTTCTCAGGGCGTGCTCACACTAGTCAATCAGAAGCACGCTTAAACCCTGAAGTCCAGTTCTTTTGACTGACTTGTGAGTGCTCTGAGCCGTGCTACCTTAGTCCTGGTACGCTTGGAAGGTTTGCTTCGGCACGGTACAGATCATGCACGATCACAATCATGGGTACACAACATGGAGAGCCTTCATTAAGGGAGAAATCCCAGAGTGTTCTGGCTGTATCTGACTCAAAATAAGACACAAAGTCAGTAAAGCAGCTGTCTTGTTGTCTGTGTTGTTTTCAGATGTGCAGACGTGGACTCGACTGCGCGTCCCTTTTTTTTTTTTACCTGCCTTAAAACTGAGCAGGCTTCATAATCCCGTAAAGTCATGCATGTGTTGTATTACGACGTTATATGCTCAGGCCTGGTTAGTCCTGGAGCAGTGTGAGTGCAGACCAGCAGGGGAACGGAGAGAGAGGGGGGGTCAATCGAGCTTAAGCACGGTACGGGACAACTTTGCCTAGTGTGAGTGCGTCCTTAGAGACGGTGTAAGACTCCCACAATGTCGACATCATTTCTTTCACAATTGACCATGAAAACAAGTTTAGAGTTTGTCAAACAGGAGACTTCTTCTGCCAAATTAAAAAAAAATCCTCTGAATTAGCAGTCAGGTATACTAGTGTTAAAGTGATGTGACACCGGAGGCACCGGTAGCCTAGTGGTGAGTGCACTCTTAAGCTACAGGTCGAGTTTGAACCCTGGCCGCCCACTTGGAGGACTTTGTCTCTGTACATGTGACGCACATACTTATCAGTTATCACTAGACTACTGTCAACCCCGTTTTCATTGTTTTTACTTTTTATTTGTTCGTTTATTTCCAGACCTCCATACCTGAACTCTGATATTTAGGTGGTTATGTTTTACATTTTGAATGTCTCCTGGGTGTGGTTACAGGTTTCTACCACACCCACACATATCCCCTTTTTCATTTTCTTTATGTGCTTTGTTTTCTTTTATATCCTCCAGTGAAAATACAGAAATACTTCCATCCTGAACTTTGCTCTGTAAGTACGGCTTCAGCTGTAACTGTGGCAAGCTTTAACAACATGTGCTCAGAGAGGAAATTAAAGGGTTATATAGTGACAGCAAAAAAGTCCACATGGTGAATCATAAAAACTTCAGCATAACCTTTTGTAACTGAGAATTATGTTGAAAGAAATCTGGGAAGTGAAACCACTCTCTCTAGCAGTGATTAATGATGTCTTGCATCACTGGGTTTTTCTCTGGATTCATTAAACCTCCCTGTCTCTGGATGCAGAATCTACCAGGAATCTCTAAAAGAGATAAAACCTTTCCATGGAAATCAATTAGAAGGGGTCAGAGTCTGGTCAGACCACCAAACTACAAGCTCCTACTTTTTTTCTCCTGAAAGTGTTGTGGGCCAGATACAGTGCCTTGCACAAGTATTCTTGTGTGTTGAGGTGTAACGACCTGCAAATTCAAATGACTCAATCGTGCTTTTTTACACAACAGAGCAGCTCATGAAGCAGACACCTGTTGGACACACGAGTCAACCAATAGGGCTTTCACTTGCAGAAAAACTCAATTTGCAGGATGAGCTGAATGTGTGTGAACGGATTTTTCGCTCGGACTTCACCCCTAGTATTTTTTCCGCAGCAAGTCCGAGTGAGCTGATGTGAGAACGCAGCAGGATGTTCTCAGCCAGGTGAGGAGAATATCCGGAGCAGTCCTCCTGAAATGATCTATATCTTTGTTAACATTTAGAAAAGTTCAAGGGGGAATACTTATCCAATACAAGGCTGTCAATACTTCGATAACTTTTGATACCGGGAGCTTTGAAAAGATATCTTCATTATTTCAAGAAGTTGTTTCCTAAGCTTATGAGAACGACAGAGCTTCAGTCATATTTTAAAACAAAATCAGCTGTGTGCAAAGGAGAGAGAGAGAGAGAGAGAGAGAGAGAGAGAGAGAGAGAGAGAGCGAGGTATAAATTGCACAAATATATTCGGAACATTTTGGCACAAAAACTTAGGCAACTTATTTGAGCAATTAAGTCAGTGTGCAGGAGTATGCTTGCACTTTTCTAATTAAAAACAAGAAATTACCCAATATAGGACTTCTATTTTTGTTGCACTGGTATCAAAACCTGTATCAATATAATTGATGATTGTTTAATTTGTAAATCTGTTATCATGACAACCTCAAACTACACAGGCTGAAAATCTCCAACGTTTTATGTCTAAAACATCCCTCGGTCAGATGTCTATCAAAGGCGCTGTCGACGTTGAACAAAAGTACAAAAATGCACATCACACATGACCATGAGCGCTCACACACTGCAGGACTGTGTGTCCACAGAAAAGTGAACTGAATTACAAAAAACACACACGTGCGTTTCCTGACTTCTCGCTTCATTGTGCAGATGCTGCAGTCTTACTTCAGCCATGTTGTTGAAGCGACATCAAGGTTAATGCTGATTTAATATTTACTGTTTTTACTTGTTCTTGCATACAAATGTGTGTAGGGCGATCTGATGCAGAGAGAGACCTTCTTCATTCGGGGCGTCATTGACGCAGACAGACATGTCAGGTTAACAAAAAAACTGAACTCCTTTCCTTCAGAACATCCTCAACCTGTAGCCCTCACACCGACAGGTTGAGAGAGGAATTAAAATCATAATTATTAAAATTAGATAACTGAACTTTTCAAAGGAGATGATATTTGCTTGAATAAAAAAATACTTTTAATTCCTGACGCTTTAATTCATCTTAATAATCTGTCCAAAAACAACCCCCCCAATGTGTCAGTACAAAAACCATAACCATATTGAAATACCATAGAATACCACAGACTGTATAAAAAGATGGACGACATGACAGCCCTCTCAAAAGTGAAGCCAAAACATTTGAAGCTCGCCCCAATGGCATCAATTACATTTTCTCAAACATGGTTTCTGTAACTAAAGTTCTTACATTATTCACTTTTCTGAGAAGTTTAAAATTTGTTGTCTGAGGGTAGAAAAGGCGGAGTAACATCATGATTGACAGCTCTTTTGACGAACGAGGCTCCTGAGCTTCTGTGTGCGAACGAACACTTACACAAGAGTCATGATACTTTCTATAACTGTGACGACTCTTTCAAGCCGATACAGGAATCTTGGATGTTTTGTTAGCTGAAGGGGGCGGGGCATCAATGCAGCAGCTCCACCCATTGATCTCTACTGCACTCGTCTCTTCAACGACTTCATCAGCCCAAGATGTCAGCAGCACATCACCGGGGGGGTACTTTGGCTTCATTTTTTGTACAACCTGGAGGAGGTGGAGACGTGACGTCCATCTCTATATACAGTACATCTTGTTACTGACACGTCTCTCCAGATCATCTCTCTCCCTCAAAAAAACTCCAAACGTAACACAACTGTGAACAGGAATCCACGTCTACAGCTTGTCACCTGATTTTGACTCAATTTAGGCCGTTGTCTTAGACCGGGAAGGGGGGCCCCACGGCTAAGAGGATTAACCAGAAATCCACACACACGTTCTCTCCACGCAAACTATTTTCATCCATCATCCCCCCTTCTTCTCCTCCCTCTTCCTTCCATGTTGCTCTGAGTAGTTATCTCTTCTCCTCTTTTTCTCCTCGCCCCGTTGAGTCAACAGTACACCTCTTTCACCACTTTGCATCCATTCAAAACTTTTTGTTTTTTTAACCAGTCTTGTAAACTAAGTTTTTCTCCCTCAGCAGTTTCATCACCAATTTATTTTTCACATCCTTGATTAAAGTCCAAGTCGGGTTCTTAAATATATTAAAAAAGGAATCAAACATAATATCTGTTTTGATACCAGGCAGCGAAAATAGAAGTCCTTGGCAACCGATAAAATATTTGGAAATGTACATTTTGAATTACCAGAAATTGGAGGCCGACTTCTGCACACCATCTAAATTGCGCAAATACATTGTCGATGTTTAAACGTATTTTTGTTTGCATGCAGTTTATTCCTCTCCTGCTCGCGTGTCTGTAAGATAAATGTCGTTTTTTGATTATACTGATGATAAAAATAGCAGAGATTGTATCATTTTGAATCATTGTGGTTTCCATTTGACAATCTTACTTTCTAAATGCAAAAATACGCCGGCAACGTTTAGAAAACTTGCGCAACATATTTGTGCAATTTAGACAATTTGAAGTTGATTTTCATCTACAGAAGCTCCAATGAGCCACGCTGTGCATTAAAACTCACTTAATGAATTTGATTGAGTCCTCTGTAAACTTCACTGCTTCACTGATATGAGGGTCTGTGTGTTTGGGGGGGGGGGGGGGGATGATGGGGATGTCAGTACTCTTATCGGTCCCATGGGAGCGGCTTTCAGCTGACCCCTAAACCAGGAAGTGAAGTAAAACTCTTGTCTATGAGGTGTCAAAGTCCAATGAGCGCTCCATATTGAGATGGAAATTAGGGCGAGCGGTGGGGGGTTGGGGGGGCGACACTGCACTCCACAGGGGGATTCCTATTGGGGGCTGGTATGGAAAGGGGTGGGGGGTGGCGTGGGGGGGACTCTACACATTAGTTCCCGTCAAAGAGAGGGGATAAACGAGGCCATTAAGGGCCCGCTCTCTGGGGAGTATAGTGGGTGGGCGGGCTGGATAAGGCGAGGGGGGGGGGTTCAATAGCTGTTGACTAGGCTACCCCACAACAACCTGTCAGAATGCCCCCCTCTGTTCCACGCCGTCTTCACGCCGAGGGGCTGGCAAGTGCAGGCTTGAACTGCCCACGTATTTCGGTCACGATACCCCCGGAGCATGTGTGGGGTCCGTGTTTGTGTGGCAGGATTTTCTTTTGTGCTCACAGAGCGCAAGGCGTTCTCTTTAAACTTTGTCAAAACACGTTTCCAATGTGGCCGGTTAAAGCCCTCCCCTCTCGGACCCCCGAGACGTCTGTTGATTGATAAAGTGACATAATGTGAACGGACGTCAAAAAATGTGTTTCCCCCTTTTTTCTGGACGGGAAATATTTCTACAGCTGTGGTGTTGGATCATTTCTCCTGGGCTCAGATTTGGCACATTCACATTTAAGAGGACAGAAAAGTAGAGGCATGTTGATGGTTGGTGATTTAAAAAATGTACTCTGTGCAATAATCATCACATACATTTAGTGAAATAGATTCTTTTTTATTGCTGTAATACTTTTGTGTTGCTTTTCAGACTGCGTTGTCTTTTACATTTGTGCTTTTTAAAGTTTCTGTCTTTTATCTGTGCTGCTTAACTGCCTTTCCTTTCTTCATTTTGTGTCAATAAAGATCTTTCTATATCTTCTATTTAGTACTATTTTTTCCACTCCAGTAGTTGTGCTTCATTGTTCCAAAAGACACAGAGCTAAATTGACACATTAAATTTGGGAAAAGTGGCTAAAATCCTCTTGAGAGTCCATCCTGAATGTGAGCTCAAAGGTGCTGTTTTTTAAAATCAGCTGAGACAGTGGGCTGAGAGACTCAAAACTTCTTGTGTCTTGTGCAATATTATGCGGCAAAAAAACACCAAGTCAAGTTTTGCACCTTAAAATTGTAAAGTTTCAGACTAAAGAATGATGGTAGGTGTGGAGTGATTTTTTTCTAATAAACGGTACAAACACTAAATTACAAAAACGAACAACTTGAGAATCCGTGTCACTGTGGGGTCTTTTGGATGCCAAATCCAACACCGTAAACCAAACAGCACTGGCTGTCTCACTTAGTGTGTCAGATAGGAAGCAGGCACATGAGACTGCCGAGGCTGATAGTGGACTCCCTGAGGCTCCAGCCCTGCAACCTGAACATGAACCGGGGGGAACACAGCGAAGAGGCACCTGTTGTACCATCCTGCTCCGAAGTCTCCTCGGGTTTGTTCCCCTGCAGGTTGTCTCGTTTTGTTTGGCAAAGAGAGACATGTCGAGGTAGAGAATCACACACAAGGTTCATGGCTCTTGTTTGGACTTCAGACCTTTGACGTTTAACCCTTTAGTCTACCGTTTGTCCAACGTTACCAGATTAACCACCACTTTAAAAATGACACGCTTTTTTACGAGTTGACAAAGCAAAGAAATGACACACAAGACAAAAAGTTGGATGGAGCATATGGAGACCTACCTGTCCCATGTTCCTATAGCCATATTTATCCGCTATCCGCTCGGCCACCTCGGTTCCACCGCCTATCCTGACTGCCCAGTGGTTGGTGTAAATCCGAGCTTTGCACGGCGGGAGGGCGAAGCCGAGACTGAGCGCCAGGACGCACAGCAAGCTTCTTCTCCAAGCGCCGTTGCGGACCATCTTCCCCCACTTCTAACCCGACTCTTCTTCTTCTCCTCCACCACCTCCTCCTCAGCCGACCAGGCAAACAACCAAACTTCTCTTCTCGCTGAGAGAGACTCTCATAGAATCACAACTATCCGGTGCAGCAAAAAAAAAAAACACCGAGAGAGGGAGAGAAAGAGAGGGAGAGAGGGGGGGAAGGAACGGAGTACCTTATCCTCAAACCTCCGCTTTCCACATGGGAGACTTAGAAGTTTGCGTTTGCGTGTGCCCTCTCTCTCTCTCTCTCTCTCTCTCTCTCCTTTTTTTTTCCAACGCGGAGGAGGAGGAGGAAGTGTACGTGTCTGCGCGCCGTGCGTCTTTTGCGCGCCGTGCGTCTTTTTGCGCGCGAGTTCGTGTACGTCCTTGCTGAAAAGCCGATTTCTCTTCTCCGCGAACAAGTCGGATGTTGGTCGTTCAGCTCATCGGGCTTTCATGTGGCGAAATGGCTACAGCGCCCTCCCCACAAATAACTAGCTGACACTCTGGAGAGTAGAAACAACTAAAGCCGCGGGGTTTCCCTCCCGAGCTCCTCTGGGTCTTAAAGACACTCTTCTTGGATCCCCAGACACAGAAAGGGGGGGGGGGTCGAGTTGGGGGCAAGAGAGCCACTTCTAGACCAATTAAACGAGCTTACCTCAGGAATTGATAAAATAAAGTTTAATAAATGTCCACAAAAAAATGGAAGTTATCCTGCTTAAAAAAAACAGTTAACATTTTCCGTTTTTTGTCACGCTCAATTAAACTACGGAAAGAGAAGAACATGTGAAACAGGTTGCTCTTTTTTATAGCTTAACAAGTCTGTGCATCTGTTCTTACTTCATTGGAAAACCGGCATTTTAAAACAATCCCCCCAAAAAGTATCTTTTTAAACGAACACCAATGTTTGACCCTAACTCTGTTAAACATCATTTCATCAACCCACATGTAAAATATAAATGATTTAATGAAGTATAATGAACAACATCAAGGCATCATGAAACTGTTTTTGGCCTCACCACTTCTCAGAAATCTTTTTTTTTTTTTTAAAACAGTAAAAATTATTATTGATTGACATGTCGAGATCATTTGAAGGTTTTACATCCTGTTACAGGATTGTCACGATACCTGCATTTTAAACTAAGATATGATCCTAGTAAGAACCTACCTGTTTCGATATCATGGCAACAACAATTAGAAGTTGTGAGCATCGATATTGGATATTTAAGCACAGTAACATAGAAACTTTCGCTCACGGCGGCTTTTGGTCAAAATATTATTGAAGATCTGTATTTTTTTAAGGCTTTGGTATTTTATTTTTAAAACGTGGTATCAGAATTTATCTAAGTATTGGGGTGTCTGTAGACTAGTGGTTAGTGCACACGGCCAATGTACTGAGACTATTTGCCTCCTAGCGGGCGAACTGGGTTCGAATTCGACCTGCTCCTTTCACACGTCAGTTTTCTATTTTAAATAATAAAAAACAGTTTGATAAGAACACTCAGATGCTCAGATGATAAAATAAAAACAGGATCATTTATCAACACTGCTCAATCTTTTGACTCACTTGAGTACTTTTATGACAAAACAAAAAGTTGAGTCCTTGCTTCTCACATACTTGATAGAAAACCTCCAGATAAAATGACACATTCAGTTTAACATTTTCAAGAAATGGTCCCCACATTTTGGTGAAGTTAGCTGATTTGGAGTGTTTCAGACGAGTCAGGAGTGAGGGGGGAGGGGGGTTACCAGAAATCCTTTGAAGAAGTTTTTTTGTTTTTAAAAGTGTCAGTTAAGTTAAACAGTTTTTTTTTTTTTTTAAAGATTTATCTTTGGCCACAGGTCAGATTTGATGCTTCGGGGACTCTCTGTACATGGGGCGCGCTAACCACTAGGCCACCAGCGCCCCAGTTACTAAGTTTTTGAAGGTGTACATTACTAACATATGCAATAGGAAGACCTCAGAGAAGACTGGTCCAGTTTAAACTCAGTTACATCTTCACTTCTGAGTTTCCCAGAATGTAAAAAATGTGTAATTTGAAGCAGGACCTAAAAGTATGTGTATGGTTACATGTAAGTATTTTGCTTTTAGACCAAAGTGTTAAAAAAACAGTTTAAAATATCCTTTAATGTTACATGACCACTGCATCTGTCCCATTTTTGCAGACAGTATCAGTAATTATTGGTATACATAACTTTTTTAAGGAGATGATTAGGAATCAGTGAGACAGAAAAACTGTTTTTTAAACCTCAAACTTTTGTACACGTGTGTATGGACATGTGTGTTTGTCTCAGTTTGATTCAAACTTCTGGACAGGAAGTGAAACGTTGTTTTCCTTCTTCAAGAGTCGAGCAGTTAAACAAGTGGATTGCATTACATTTTAGATACGCGCTCCCCTCCTGCAGCTTGAAATCTGCCGTTGAATGCAGGCCTTGTCGGTCTCCTGGGCGATATATTGACACAGACATACCAATGTAAAGTTGGCTCAACTATGACCTCCACCTCTGTCATCATCCAGTGGGAAACAGCCCAGACGCAGAAAATGTCACTACATGTTCAGAAATTCATTTAAAAAGCTCCTGTGGGGATTTTTAAACTCAGAATGAAACCGATTAATCATGATGCCTTTTTATGACCTTCAAAAAACAAACAGGACCATCAGGAAGAAGATGGGTCGTGTCTATGATGTCATTGTTCATGTCTCAAACTGATGCTGCAGGGTAGGTGGAGATGAAACATTTCAGCATGAAAAAGAAACCGCCTCTGCAAATATTCACAATGATTAATACATTTAAATGGGAGAAAAAAAAGGGCAGCAGGATGGGGGCGCCGGTTGCCTAGTGGTTAGTGTGCGTGCCCCATGTGTGGAGGCTGTGGTCCTCTAAGTGGACGGACCAAGTTCCAATCCAACCTGTGGCTCCTTTCCAGCATGTTGTTCCCCACTCTCTCTCTCTCCACAAGTCCTGATTTGATCCAATGTCCTATCTCTAATTGAAGTCATAAAAAGCCCAAAAACAAACTTTAAAGGCTTTATATGTGATTGTTTGATCCAGCAGTGTCGCCCTTGAGCACCAGCATGAAACCAAAACAACTCGCGCTGCATTGTTGTGTTAGCATGCTAATGCTAGCGATCTTTATTCTGCTGGTATCTTCACACTGCATGTAAATTTACCTGAAATGAGCGTGATCTAGAAACACAGTTAAGCAGTGAGTACAGTATGTTATTCTTCTTTTCTCTAGTCCCTCAATTAAACAACTTTTATACACGAGGGGAGGAGTCAGCCGGCCGTCCGGCGATGTAAACAAAGTGAAGATAGGACTCTGAAAACATCACAGACAGTGGGACTCGGGTGTTACACCCATTGTAGACAGTCATGACTCACAGAGTTATTTTCAGAGGAGATACTTGATTTCTATTACATTTAAGTGTGAAAAATCACATATAAAGCCTTTAGTAAAAAAATCAAGCTGGATGACATCTTTTTGTCGACTTTCAAACCTGAAGATTTCCTGGATTTTTCAAGGTGAGATTTATGTAAAAACCCAAACGGATGGACTTTACCCTCGTTTTTTTCCTGCCAGCCCTCGAGTAAACTTTCTTCATGAATCCCGATACGCTACTGTGAACGCAGTCATATTCCAGGTGCAGTGGCATCTAAACAGATATTTGTGATGTTTGATTTACTCCAGAATTGTTAAAATTCTAGTTTCTCGACAACCCAACGGGGTGACTTTACATCCAGATTATGTGTCCACTATTGCTGCCCTTGGCTTTGCTGCTTATTTCCCCTGAATCAGTGAAGCTCTCGATGTCATGCCCCCCCCATCGCAGCACAGGTCACAGCTGACTAAACGCTGTCATTATGGAATGTGCCCGGTATTATCTGCAGTCGAGCCTTTTCATTCAGTGCCTTTTGTTGATTGATGGGTTTTTGTTTTGCAGCAGTTTCCCGGGGATGTCACTGTGCACAGCGAAAACTCTGTTCTGCATGGGACACAAGTGAAAATCAGCATAATTGCACTAATTGCAGCCAATTTCTCCCTGAAAGGACCCTGCTGTCACGTCTCACAACAAGCAGGAGGGGGGGGTCGGGCAAGAACATCTCATGGTCCCCCAGATGGAGATGAAAGGGAGTAAAAAAAAAAAAAAAAACAGCCAGTGATGGTTCTCCATTCAGCCAGATGGAAGGGCTTGTAATTTAAAGGAAAAAAACGGGAGAGGAGACTAAACATGCCAGAAATAGATCAGAGTATCCAAATCAAGTACCCAGGTCACGAGGCCACCAAGAGCACCAGGGGCCCCAGTTTCCATTCACATCCCTAAACGTTGTGATATCCTGCATGACGGCCTCACGGCTCTCCGAGGTTTTTTTCCTCCAGGGAGTGAACCGAGTGAACCCCAACAAAACGTCTTTGTCGACATGTGAGAGCCGAGCGGGCCGTGAGTGTCAACAAACAGTCAGGAGGGGCATTCCTCTGCGCATTCCTCTGCGCCTCTTCAATGAAATAACAGGGTGCATCATGTGTTTGTCTCCACAACACGACTTTTAAAAAAAGAATTTAAAAAACTTCACGCAAACCTCCCCATGAAACGACATAAAGGAGCCCCGAGAAGAAGAAGCTGCAGCCAGCTAGCTTTGTTTCAAATGGGACACGGCTAATTTGTTCGTTCAGTCTGGAGCCAAAGTTACAGGAGGAAAACCTCCCACGTGATTTTCTCACCTCCCTACCAAGAAATGTCTGTTTTCAAAACGTGTCTTTTAATGAACCTTTACCTCGTGGAGAACAATCTCTGTTTACTGTCGAGGACACATTTTACTGAAATGCAGCAATAATTGAATAAATAATAATCTTGTTTTGTCTATACCACATGGACAAGGTTTCTCACGAATAGCAACATATCAAAGATAGCCAGACTTGAAGTTTAAAAAGTTTAAAAATAAAAAGAGAGACAATAAAGTCGAGAACATCTGTATGAGATTAAAAAATTGAAATTATGAGACAGAAAGTCGAAAATTATCTCATAATTATGACTTTATTATCTCTTTTTATTTTTTTAACTGGCGGAAATGGCCTTTTTTTGCCTGAATCAAATTTTTCCTTTTTGTTTTAATCAACATTTAGCAGGTCGCGCCCCATGTACAGAGGCTATAGTCCCCAAAGCGGGTGGACCGGGTTCAAGTCCGACCTGCAGCTCCTTTCCCCTCATGTCCTTCTACACCTCTCTCTCCTTATTTCCTAAATCTATCTGCTGTTGTATCAATTAAAGGCATAAAGTAAAAAGAGCATCTAGCAAGCATGTCAATAAAGTGAATCCAAGGTAGTTTACAAATTAAACATGTTTGCTATAAGTCCCATAAAACGTTTCTAACAGGAGTTCACATAAAGGACTTAAATCAAAGAAAACAACAAAATCTATGGACAGGTAGGGAGAGATCTTCCTTTATTCATTCACATAAAATAAAGTTAATCCATTCTTCAAATGAATTTTCTCCACTTCATGATTGACAATCGATGTTTTCCATTTAGTACGTTTTCGTTATTTCCATTTAAAGTTGGGCTCTTCTGTGAGTCTCGTTACAAGCCCACATTAGGACATATTAACCTTTTTCAACAGTCGTGGAGGTACAGTACGATGCCATACACCTTATTGTCTCCTTGGGGAAATTTGTCTTGGACTCAAAGTGTTGCCAAACATTCATCTGCTTCCACTCGAATCAAAAAAAAATAAAAACAATAAAAAAAACCACATCCACATAAAATAAAAAGGCACATACTAATACAGAACAACAAAGCATATATTGCACATTACCCATAAATACAGTATATCCGAGGTATTTGGTCTTTTAATCCAAGGCAATTTATTTCACATTACACAAAACAATCAAAGCTGACCACGTTTGTCTGATTTCTAGTCAAAGAAAATTTACTGAGTTTCCCCACGATAATCAATCAAGCAATTAATTAATCAATCTTAAATTGTATGCTTCCAATTCATAACAAATGTTTCTCCATACACTTTACAAACGAGCAGGTAAAACAGCTTACTCTTTGTTATGTTACAAAGACCCAACATCTCTCTATCACGAGCACTGAGCGACATCCAGCAAAGTTACAGTGGAGAGGAAAAGCTTCCTTTAAGAGGCAGAAACCTCGAGCAGAACCAGACTCATGATGAACAGACGTCTGCTGAGACTGTTGGGCTTGGAAATGGGATGGAGGAAGATGCATCTTATTTTCACAGGATTTTGACTTCTTTTTTTTTATCTTAAAAAAACGCTGCCATTCCTAAATAACAAATTTACTTCAGTCGTTTTCACAACATCTGGGGAAACTTACTCCTTATCATCGATCTGAGAAGAAATAAAATTGTGTGGATGCACGTCTTCTCACGGCTTCACCTGACAAGCCCAGAAAAAATGTTTTTATTTCAAGATATTATGAGAAACATGTAAAGCCTGAATTTCTTGTAAGGTCTTAAAAAAAAATGTCTGCCAATGCCGCGAGCTTAATGTTCTTGATACATTTCTAGAATACAATATAATAATAATACTTAATTTGTAGAGGACTTTTCAAGGCGGGTAAACAAAGCACCTTACAGAAGCAATTTAAAAGAGACGATCACAATCGCACACACAGAAACAGTACAAGAACTACATGATATGAGTTCTGTAGTCTTTACAGGACTAGTCTCAGAGTATTTGGTAATGGTTTACATTTTGGTTTCCACAGTTTCTGCAGCAAACGGGGACTTTATCATCACATTGAGACTTCTTGAGAAGGCGGCATAAAGACATTTTTCAAAACATCAGAATGCGGATCTATCGGTTTCATCTCGTTCCCTCTTGAATCTTTCAGCTTCTTCAGTCATGTCCTAGCAGTCCATAGTTCCCCTCCTCCTTATCTGTATCCTCTCGCTGGGTGGCCCTCCTGGGAGTCGATGTTGACCTTTTAACTTCACTTTGACCTTTGACCTTGTTGCTGTATGGCTCCTGCACTCACGCTACAAAGGCACCTGCCACTCACCGACTTTTTCATCCTGTCTGCTCCGCGTCCCGCCCTCCAATCACCGCTCGGCTCTTCTTCTCTTCTCTCTCTCTCCTTTGTCAGACGCATAGCAGGGTTATACAGGTCATTCTCAGGGAGCACACACAACACACACACACACACACACACACACACACACACACACACTCTGCATTCAGTGCAGAGAGATGGAAAAAGTGGAGACAGAAGTCACTTTTCACAGTTGCTCTCCTGAAAATTTTTACTTCAGCCTGCCCCTGAAGTTTTCCCACTTGTCCCATTTTCAGACAGGACAGGGTCTCAGGAGGCAGAGTATGACTTAATCCCCACACTGTACGATTGTGTAATATTCATGACTGAATCGTTTAAGACCCACGATCAAAACTCAGGATTTCACATCACATTTAGCGTCACCAGTAAACACAAGCTCATCAGCTGAATCATAACACACACTTCTTGTCAGCTGGTGGTCTGCAGACTTTTCTTGCCAGCGTTTCTTTCATGATCTGAGCGAGTAGACAGATTAAGCAGGTATTGCCTGCTGTTGCCATGGTGATTGTGGATGTTGTCTGTCACTTAGTGCAGGTAAAAATTAGGGGGGGGAGTAACCGAAGTTGAGGAATGGACTCCTGGTCCCTACTCTGTGCGATTGTGTTCAGTCATATGGACGTAATATCAAACGTGTCAGAAAATCATCTCACCTGTTGGGAGCAGCTGATCAGGCCGTGATTGGCTGTCGTGCCTCAGTCTACACTGCATGACTGACGACACTTGATCGGGTTGAAATTCAGCCCAACTTCAAGATAAATTGCACACAAATATCACAGGATATAACTTCATACTGTCTCTTTGTTTGTAATGAATTATCCTGAATATTTCCTGCTTTGTTCACACATTTGCTAGCCCCAACATTTTGCAGATATTTTACTAGGGGGCTGGTAGGAAAACGTCTTATCCCCACAAAATTGGGAAATGTTCAACAGTGTAGTGCATGTGTGAAAAGTGTGAGAGAGAGTGCTGTATGGATGCATGAATCTGTATTTTTTTGATTGATAAATAAATACTCTCTTATCAGTTTCCGATTTCAAACAGAGCGATTCAGTGACACAGGATGAGGATAAGATTCAGTTCAAGGTTACAAAAGGTGTCGTGGTCGCTGAGGCAGTTTGCAGGATTTTGCATGAAGATGCATCACTTCCCAATGTAGATATACACCCAAACAAACATCACAAGGTTTTATAATCGCTCTGCCTGGACATTTTTTAATCGCAAAGAACGTTTTTTTTAACAGCTGATGTAACATGAACAATTTCAGTTCTTTAATATCAGCAGGTAACACTTTGGTCTTCTGCATCCATTAGGAATTTAAATACTGTAGAACAGTTTATCAATTAAGACAAACAATTAACAACAATTGGTGTTAATTTAGATTATAATCCCAGTTTTGGGTATTTTGAGAAGTAAACTCATACGCCTACCAGTTTGGTTTTCAATCTAAGGCTAAGCTAAGAATTGTTCACTCTGGTGTCTGCAATTCCACTCACGATTGCATTTTACAAACTATAGTACTATAGTGTGATATGCAGCCTTCTCATGTTTTGACCCCATAGTCTAATTCAAAACAAGTAGGCTTATACTGCCATCTGGTGGTGACTGCTCAAATTACACATTGCTTGTTGCAGTTAAATTCTGATTTTTTTCCGCATTAATGTCCATAAAGACTTTAAAAATAAGTATTTATATTATTTTACACACACTATGCACTGAAGGTAAAAGTTACTGTATTAATGAGTGAAGACACTGTTGGGTTTTAAAGTAAAGAAACTGAAATGTTGCTTAACTCAACTGAATCATTCTGTCACATTTTATCAAGTCTACAATCAATATCCAGTCACACTGAAGGAGACAATTTATATTTTTCATTATTTATTACTTTGAAAGGCAGAATATTTTGGTATATGATCCTGCAGCTATAAAAAAATAAATAAATCTATTTTTCAGTAAAGACTGAAACGTGAATGCAAATATTCAAGATTATCTACAAATTAAAATTATCAGTAGAAAACAGTGTTGCCTTGGGTACCTGTGATTATTTTCTTCACATAAACCAAAAAGCGCAAGCAATAGTTGTTGTTTTCTTTAAGTCAAATGTCCTTATAGATTTCTTTTAAAGCGTTTTCAAACTGGCTTTAATGGACAGAGAGTGGCTCGAGTCCTTTTTACATCCTGATGTTTTTTTTTGGCTGTTCCTGTGAGATTATTTGCATTCTCTGATATCTCTGATATCTGCATAATCATAAAACTCAGGTATAAATCTGGGTTGTGACAACACCAGAATTTAAACCTTAACACTATAATACCTGCAGTATAAAATAGATCAATATAGATAATCGTTTTGATACAATGGCAACACACAGAAGTCCGAGGCATGCTTGCAGAGGGCAGACAGGGCGCTCTTTCACTCACAGCAATCTGTAAGTTAAAAATAGGGCTGAAGATCTAAAGCTTATTTAAAGCTTTGAACCAATAGGATACTATCAATTATCAAATTAACAGATTTTTCCTTTTTTTTTAAAGTAGTAATGGAAATATTTAAGTGTCTAATTTTGGACCCATAGTATGAAAAGTTGTGGGAAAAGGCAAACATTCACACACAATACAAAAACATTGCGACAAGTTAAATATTTCCAACTGCTCAGAACGTTTATTTCGAGGGAAATCATGGTTAAAATTAAATTAAAATATAAAATTCAGACGGGCAAGTCCCTGTTTGCGGCTTGTGTTGAAACGAGGAGAGCAGACTGCCCTCTGGAGGGGGAGGGAGAGAAAGGAAGGAGGGGAAGAGACGGGAATCTACAAAATGAAGTTTTTGGGGGGGGATTAACCTGGTCATTCAGGGCATTATGTATAAAAAAAGGAAGAAAGAAAAACAGATGCAGTTAGTTATTATAAACCCCACCCCCATCTGAAATGTCCTCATATGCAATCAGTGCTAAAGCTCTCTCGGTTTTCCTTTTTTCTGGTTTCTTACAGGAAGTTTTAGATCCTTTATCTTCTTCACTCACTCTCACCATCGGATTCAGCATTTTCATCCCATTCTGTCTTTCTTTATGTAACATCTTTTCCTGCAGCTTTGAAAAAAGTAAACAAAAAGTCCTTCAAAAAATAAAATGCAGCAACCACATTTCATGTTCTACTATTACATATACAGTATATATATATAAATACATACATAAATATCTTACATGTACAACCAATTTTGAAAAGGGGGGGGAAGAGAGAACCCAAAAGACTTATGAGGACTTGTGGAGGTGGGGGGAGCGGGGCTAGGAGGCCCATGGTTGCTCATTGTGAGGGTAGTGTGTCTTTGTTTTTTATTCTCTTTAAGCTTTACACACACGCACACACAGCCTTTTGGGGAAGGGTGGTGGAAAGCACTGCTCAGTTGGCCCAGTAGGGGGAGCTGCCATAGCTGGACTTGCTGCCTTGGGTCTTCTGCTGCATGCTGCTGGACGCACCGCGCTGACCTGGACCACCCTGCAGGAAACAACAAGCAAACATTATTTCATTAAAATTCTGGTTAACAACTTTTTTTAAAAGATGTATATTGATCTGCTGTTAGAGTTTCTGTCCTCTTGAGTCCCACATAACTAGTTGAGTGGAACAGACGGTTTGCAGTGACAACTTGTTGGGAAATCATTTGGGGGGCGGGGCTTAACACAGTGACACAAGGCAGCAGAGGAAGAGGCAGAAGGGTTTTTTCTACACTGCCACTACAATGTTAATTCACAACAGGTGGACCAGTGTACCTGTCCGTCCTGTGTGAGGTGATGGTGCAGTAGCTGGGAGTGGGGCTGTTGGTGTGGCGGCAGGATGTGCAGGAACGGAGCAGGGGCGTAGCCAGGAGCTCCACCAGGATTCAGGGGCCCTGTTCCCCCCAGTGCTGAAGGCAGGCTGAAGGGAGGCGGTGTCCCTGTGTGGAAGCCCTGCTTGTCAAATGACTGAGGATAAAACAGAGACACCAAAGGTTAAAAAAAGAAAGCTCACCTGAACAAGAACATGCTTGTAAAACTGCTTTCCAAGAATTTCTTGCATAACCAACCAATCAAGTTTGGTTACATAAACAAGTCGTTGAAGTTTGATTTTAAAAGCTACAATACAAAAAGGTGTGTGAACCCTTTACTTAAATACATAGAACAGGTCGGGAGGTCACTCACCTGAGTTTTGCTGTAGATTGAACCTCCCATGTCTGGTACTCCACCAGTCCCCGACCCCGACAGTCCTGGTGCTAAGAGGAGAATGGGGAGGACAGAGAGATAGAAAGAGGGAGGAATAACAGAAGAAGAAAGTGATAGCGATAGAGAAAAATCAGGGGTTAAGGGGGAGAAGAAGAACAACTGCATCACTTCACTGATGACTGAATATTATGCACTGATTGTTCATTTCCACTGTTAGTAGAAGGGGGGCCAGCCAGTCGGAAGAAGCATAGTGAGTGAGGAGGTGCAGAGCCAGATTTCTCACTTCCTTTCACCCCTTGCATGTATCCATCACAGTGCGATCAAACACATGCATATACACACCTTCTTCCAACACATTCTTGTCTGTAGCATCATCTGTAATTGTGAGTACATCTGTTTTTCTCATGGGACAAATACCCACTGACTTGGTGTATGCTGTGAGACTGTGCGCACATGTGTCGTGTGTGTACCTTTCCCTGGGCCGCTGCCCGCTGACTTGGCCTGCGACTGGGCAGAGCCTCCGTACCCTCCCTTACTGTACTCCCCACCGTGGGCTTGAGATAGGTCATCAAAGGCTGAAGGAGGAGGAGGAGGAGTACAGAAGAAGAGAGGAGGCAGAGTGAGCAGAGGAGGAGGGCGTGGGGTAGGAAGAGAAAGGAGACCAGATGATGTGAAGAGAAGGAAAGGAAGAGCACCAAGGGGGTGGCAGAATCAGAGGGGGGGAGGAGGGAAGGGGAGAGAGAGGCAGTAAGGTAACCTGACTAACATGGCAGAGGTGTCTAAATTGAGCCGTGTCCAACTTCAGCAGGGGGTTTGAGCTATGCATGCAGCACAAGCAAAAAAAAAAACACACAGGCCCAACTCCACACGCACATGCAGCATTTTGTGTACATGTAGAAAAAAAAAAGTGAAATGTTGTCTAAAGGCTCCTTCAAAGTCTGTATCAACATATCGTCTCTGACTATACCTGCCAGGCTTGTCATGATACCCGATGTTTTAACTTTGTTATGACTCTGGTCAGAAAGGAAACAATATCGATACTGATGTCAATACCACAGCAACAACAATAAAACCTAATTAGCAAAGCTGCAGACAAACGCTAACACGCGGTTTAAATCGCACAAACGTGCATTTAAAGAGTGCTCTCTTCTGCTTGCAGCAGCTTTAGATTGAAAATATGACAAAGCTTTTAAGCTCTGCTCTCAAACTATCAATCATGGAAATAAGAGATTGAAATGCTTTACAACTTGTGGTATTGAAAGGTATCCAAAGTGTTGACCTTAATACCTGCATTGTCTGACAATGCTGCAGTAAGACTGGATTGTCGACTCGGGTACTTGGAGCATCAATAATCACTAGACTGAATTACCAGGACTGATATGCCACTGATATAAAAATAACAAGTTCATACAGTTTAAGCGACCTTCAAAATAACTTTGTATGGCTGGATGCTGTGAAAGTCATATTTTAAGTTAAATCTGGTCTGTCACAGCTCAATGAGACTAAGAGGATTCAGTCAAGCAAGATAAATTGGAAAGCTGAAATTAAACAGCTCGATTCCATCGATAAAGGAACTCTTGTATTCTCACTGAACTGGATAAAAACGTGGCTGTGTTAATTGTCTGACAGCACCATGAGTCATATCAGTGACGGACTGAGCCCTCTTGGTTTTGTCCAGGTCGTACCTGTGCTGTACGCATGCTGTCCATAACTGGGCTGATGCTGTTGGTGGTACTGATTGGAGGGGTTGGCCAGGCCCATCGTCTGTTGCTTGGCTGAAGCAGGAGGCACAAAGACGGTGGGGCCGTACTGGAAGGCTGAGGGAACCCCCGGCATACCAGCGTAGTACGGCAGACCTAAAAGATGGAGAATTAGAAACGTTAATAAAGCTTCACAGTGAGTTATGGTCTCTTAACAGTCAACACACAAATTGACAATTACCATAAAATCTGGAATTTAAGTCGGGCCAGTATGTAAATTGAGTTAGCTTTTGGGCATCCTGTCATCCTGCTTTGCGATGTCCATTGTATTCAGCAAAGTCCACAACGTGCAGCTCGTTCTATTACCATCTGTTTGCAATCCTGCTAGCTGCAGCTACGCTTGTTGAAGTCCCAGCTTACAGTGACATTAAGAAGTGTGACGTTCAGTAGGTCCACTGCCAGCGACCAATTCGCCGAGCAGCAATGCCCACCTGCACTGCTCGCTTGTTGTTTTTAAATTGACGCTTACTTACAATCAAACCAGCACCATTAAAGGTTTATTTACTGATTAGTATACTGCTATTTTCTTTAAATGCTGGATTTTTAAAGGAGGGAGAAAAACAGTTCAAACAGCCTGGTACACATCCCCGTTGTATCCCAGAACTAAGGAACTCGCAGACAGGAAGCTTTTTTTTTTTTTGGTTTACATTTTTCTAGACATTTCAACAGAAAAAGACAAATTATTAAGATTAAGGTGACTAACTTGTAATGTTCTTGAGGAGTTCACGCTAAGTGACTGCGTGCAACATCCTACTCATTTAAAAAAAACTGTTCTTTACCAGTGTATCCATAGCCTGGGGGAAGAGGAGGGTTCAGGAAGGCCTGGTTCTGTGGCTGCTGACCCTGGCTCTGTCCCTGACCCTGCCCCTGTGATCCTGCCTGTGGAGCCTGCTGGGCCTGCGACTGTACTCCAGCTGTGGACAGGCTGGTTGGGGGGGCAGGAGACGAAGCGTCATTCCTGCCAAACTTTGTTGCCTCACCTGAGCAGAGGAAATTAAAAAATCAAGTTGAATGAATGGTGTCAATTGTTTCTCGTCTGTGCGACTTAGCGGCCCATTATGAATTATATTGCAAATGTAATGGACAATAAACTCAGAATCTCAAGGTCAACAAAAAATGTGACTTACCAGTATATGGATTATTAGCCAGGCCATCTCTTCCAGGCATAGCGGCCGTGGTACCAGGGAATGTTACACCGTAATAGTCCTGTGGAGTCAGACGAGACAATATTGAAACTGAAAATATCCACACAAATTCAATAAGCTGCCAAAGAATAATTCACAATGAAGTAAGAGCAAGCCCTGCAGGACAAATGATCAGACAGCTCCATTTCTAAACTATTCGAGTTCATCTTCATGGTCAATCATTTATCAGCCAAATACATCATGTGCATGTTGTTATTTAATATGCAGGAATCATACATTCAAGCATTATAAACATAAAAAGGTTTATGAAAGATTAACACAACAGACTCACCATTGGAAGACGAGACTGCAGCATTTGCAAATCTTCGTATCCATAGATCTGCTGTTGAAATAAAGAAAACAAGAAGAGAACCGGTGATTATTCAGAATCATTTTAGGACTTCCTTAGAAATCTCACCGTTGCCTGCAAACTAACTTTTATTTATCGTCATATCCATTGTAGCTTTTAGGAGACTTTTGTTTAGTCTCAGTGTGTTCCCTAGACATGCTTGACAACAACAAAAAGACACTGAAAGCTCTACAGAAGAAGAGCTGAACCCATTTCTGTAGTAATTTAATGTAATGTAGCCACTTATAGAAACACAGATTTAAAGTGCACCGACATAAAAAACCAAATAAATACAGTGATAACAGAAAGCTAAACAGTTCAGTGAGGGTTAAGCACTTGAGAAAGACATCAACACAGAATATATTTCAGTGCCAGTCCTTTTTTGAAACTTTAACCCAGGGGTCTAATTAAAACAGCCACAAATAAATAAATCATCAGGCGTGTTACCGGGTATGCTGGGAGCAAGCCACCAGGGCCCATGATGTACTGGTTAGCCAGTAGAGGCGGCACTCCTTGGGCCAAGTTTGGGGGAGCTTTTCCTGGAAAAGGGAGGATTATTTGGCTTGACTGAAGAGCATGGGAATCACTCAATCATTAATAAAGTATGTTCATGGATTTATAATGTTTATATTTTTATACATCTATTCCCCCATTGTGGGATAAATAAAGGATTATCTTATTCATAACTAGTTGAGAATCAAGACTGTTAAAATGATCAACAGGAATAATTACGTCATAATATGATCGCTTTCAAGAATCTTTTGTAGCAGGGATTTGAGTCATGTGTACCTACCTGATGTGGCGGTGAGCAGAGGAGCCGTGCGGCTGACTGCAGCCGACAGCGTGGCGTTTGAGCCATTAGGAGTTAGTCCTGGTGCTCCAGATAGGTGCAAACCATTGGTGGTCAAGCTGCTGACAGCCTGGGGAGCAGGACTAGGATTGACAACTTGGCTGGACGACGATGAAAATGCATGGAGGTTGGCGCTGCTGCTGTCCTCATGACTGATCTGATGAAACACAAGCAGAGAAGGTGTTTGAAAAGAAACCCAGGTCAAATATATTTTATTTCTGTATTTAAAACAGTCCGAAAATCTATCTTGCGTTTGTTTTTAAGCATCGACACACTTACAGTGAGAGACGAGCTTGTGGGGAGGGCTGATCCAGACGAGTGAGTACTGGTCACGTGACTAGAGAGAGAGAGAGTAAAATGTTTCAGCCAGCCTGCTTACATCTGATGAAGCATTCACAGAACTTAGTAAAGGGCTCATGAGCAGGAAGATGGGAGATTCAGTCAAATATATTTCCACATTAAAGGATTAAGATATGTGCTTGTAACCATCATTATCTCCAGACAGAAAAGAATCAGTGGGTAATATAAATCGTCATTGTGTCTGAATCATCTCTTACCTGTTGAGCGACATCATTGCTGTGGAGTGGGAAGGTGTAACTGCAGGGGAGGGGATGTGGTGGCTGGGACCACTGTCACTTGTCATGACAGGAGACTCCGTTTTCACTGTTCTTGACGTTGCTGGTTTAAAAAAATAAATATACAAGCAAAATACATTTGGAATATATTGTTTGAGAAAGACGAAGACTTATTAACTTAAAAAAAAATCGATTGAGTGTGCTGCTCTTTAACAAACTTAATCACATCCATTTACAGGACTCTCTCCACTTCCTAGCAATCAATATTTATTTTATTGTATTTTATTGCAGTGCAGTACAGACAATGCTGAGGGTACTTACTGTCCTGTGTGCTCTGAGTCTTCATCCCACTGTAGCCATTCTATGAAGAGATTAAAAAAAAAAGAGGTTGTGTTAAGCAGCCGTAAGATTTCCTAAGGTTGCAACCACTAACACTGAAAGTTGTGCATTATCTTTCCCGCTATCAGCATCATCTCAAAGTCTGATTCACAAAACATATAGCGCCTATGATATTCAGGTGCAAAAAACCCCAAAAGGTTGTCCTGCTCTGTGTACTTTGTGAATAAGACTGTATTCATGACTCATTTCACAGGTTCAGCGTGGTGCAAAAGCCCCACAATCTCTCAGGCCCCGAGAGACTTCTGAAAAGTGGTCAGAGGAGCTCTTAATCATTTTGTTATTTGGGCCCTTTTTATTAACACAGTAAAAGGTTTCCTCTTACCGTCATGGTAACTGCTGACTGTATATCTTTGCTCTGAGAGTAGCCCAGGTGAGGTGGCAGGGTCCTTGGGCCACTGCTCTCCACCCGGTTGGCTGCTGTGGGAGCTGAGGAAGAAGGTGGAGCGGCTGCACTAGGAAGACCCAGGGAAGGGGAGGGCGTGGCACTGGGTAAGCCCACGGATGGTGAGGGGAAGCTGGGGTCTGATACAGCTGGAGGTAAGGTGGGTAAACTGCTCATGTGGTCACTTATCCAAAGAAAGAGAGAAAGGAAGGTAAGCTTACAAACAAATCTTTTTAGGAATGTTGGTAACAAATAACTGCTTACGTAAAGCCGACAAACCAGTTTCAGCACTGAAAAAAATAAATAAATAAAAACTCTGAAATGTACCTCACAGTTCCTGGTTTGGAGAACAGGCTGCTCTGTGGCTGCTGAATGGGAACAGTGCTTGGGACAGACATGGGTGCCGGAGCTGCTGAAGCTGGGGCCTGAGCAGGGGCTTGCTCTCTGGCCGACTCTGCCTGTGCCATGTCTACTGTTCCACTACCAGCCTCAGGCCCAAAGTCAAGAGCTCCAAACTGAAGATTCAGGCCAGGTATATCTGCAGAGCCTGGCATCTCCACAGCTGACGACGGAATCTGAGAAAACAAAGAGGGCGTTGAGTAGAACGGGTGCAGATTTTGGGCAAATATGTATGTGATATAAGGTGATTGCTGTCAGAAATTATTGTAGATGGAAAACAAGTCATTAGCAGGAAAATGAACATTTATATGAATGTGACAGTATTTAGTGCTCTGTGCCCTCTGGTCATCTATGGAGATGAACAGTAAAATCATGGAACAGTTTAGCTAGTGAAGTATGTAAAGAAGAAGAACTCCTTTTTTATACTCTTTTGTTGATAATACTGCGCACACACACACACACACATATAGGCTGAAATACAGACACATACAGAAACAGGATCCTATGGACATGCGTCAGAATGAGTGGGCTGCCCACAGCGAGAATTTCTGAACAGGTACCATTTGATAAACATCACTTAAATATTCTAGTTTCTGAACTTGCAAGAAATACAAGGCTTTTTTTATTATTATTTAGTCTAATAAAAGTCCAGATATTGGTAGAGATTACCTTTGAGGGAGGAGGTACTCTGCGTCTTTGGGCCTTTAGCTGCCGCTGAGGGGCTTCTGTGATTGGAGGCTCCATGCCTGGCAGCTTGGCTCCAGGAGAGGCTCCATCTCTCATGGGAGGGATGGAGGACTCATGACCTGAAGGAGGTTGAAAGTGACAGTGTGATTCACAATGTTGTTAAAAACTCAAAAGGATCAAAATTATGGAAGCTGTAACTGAAAACAGGTCAGTAATGCCATTAACCTGCAACGAATGTTATTCTGGAGGATTAGCAGAAGCACTGGCTCAGCTTCAGTACATTTCCACAGCATTGTATTGTGGTAACTGAATTAGGCCTGTAATTATTTATTTGTTCAAAGTGTTAACTATTGCTTCTCTATTCAATTGTAATACCTTAAGTTTGAGTTGTCTAGACATCCGTGTGATTTCAGAGCAGAACATGAGAATCAGACTTGTTTTTCCTCCTCATCAGTTAGGGCTATTGGGGTTGTGATCTTCCTTTTAAGAACTGCCAACACATAGCCGTAAGATCATGTCCTTTTTATATTTGAACCTTCTAGTGAGTTGGATCTCCAAAACACCCTCGTCTGAGATGAAACAGAATGTTTCTAACTCTGATTGTGTGTTACCCCTTGTTGATTTCAGAGCATAAACCTTTTGATTAACCCTTGTGGCTCCTTTCCAGCACATCATTCTCCACTCTCTCCTGATTTATAGCTCCAACCACTGTCCTGTCTCTCCCGTTAACAGGCATAAAAAGCCCAAAAGCCCCCCAAAAAAAACTTCTCTGACCAATCTGTTGTTTGCAGTTGTTCAACTCCACCTTCTTTCTTTTAACATGTTAAAGATCCGAATGAACGAGGAATTATATTTAAAGATGCCCAGTCGTCATTTAAGCTCACACTAAACAATTTGCTGCTCCGTTACTTTTTAATTATACATTAAATGTTGTAGCTTTTATGTCATGTGGCATCCTCTGCAAACTTACTAACTCACATGTTTAATTGCCAAGTATGAGCCTATTCTGCAGTCCTACCTGGTGGTGTGGGAACCTGTGGAGCATGTGACTGGGACAGGCCCAGAGGCTCTGTGGTGGGGAGGATGGACGACTGTTGTTGCCTCTGAGCTAGCTGACTAAGCACCGCTGATGGTTCTGGCTGAAGCTTCATCTCCACTAAAAAGAAATTGGATAAGTATTGATTAACACAACTTAATGTCTTACGGTCCTTCCATAAACTTCTGTGTTGGGTTTTCATTTTAATGCGAGATAAACTTACAGTGTTGGGCAGTAACAGGGCCGTTCTCAACCCTCTGAGGCTTGACGTCGACAGAGGGAGAAGGGGCAGCAGCAGGGTTCTGTATTGGAGGTGGCCCTGCATCTTTGGAAACATTACTGTTGCTGGTTGTGGCCAATGTCTGGCCGACTCTCTGGCCAAGCCGAGGGCCGTTGAGCTGCTCTGAAGTCCTCATGTCAGAGCTAGGTGTAGGCTTAGGCGCATTAAGGGACCCAAACCCAGAACCCAGGACAGAGGACTGTGAGAATGAGGGAAGAAAATGAGAACTCTTATGATTGTGTAGGAACATACAGATCGGTTAAAGTTTTGGCTGATGCTTGCACATGTGTAAGTGATGCATGATCGGCTGTCCATACCAGTGCAGCATGTGCGTAGGTGGTGCCAGCAGAGGCGGCATGGGCATAGCTGTTGGCTGTGGCGTGTGCGTAGCTGTGTGTTGCAGTGCGTCCATTGTGGTGGGAATTGGTAAACACCAGGCTTTGGCCCAAATCCTCGGCTGAGGGGCCATCAACTATCACCCCCAAATCAGCGTCCATAGAAGTCATTCCAGCCTTGGGTAGCAGGCTAGCCAAGTCCACACTATGGGGAAGCAGGTGGAAAGAGTTTAATTTAATTTAATTTGTGTTGCCTTGAAAAATAAAAGCTGTTTTCTGTGATTTTTTAATTGAATGGAAGAGGGCTTACTTTTGTCCAGGTGTGATGTGGTTCACTGGAGCAGAAGAGGCAGTGAATACCTTGGTCTCAGACAACTGTGGAAAAAGGATGGAAAGTATAATACAGGCATCCACCACGTTAATCTAGGCATGTGAGCTTTACTCTATATTAACAACAATTAAGAGACCCACTGCTAGACACTTTATGAAATCATCACAAAAATAACGGTGTTTATTAAATAAACCTCTGCAGCCAATTAGATTAAATGAAAGGAATCTCCTTTTATCTTATACCAAGTCAAATTAAAGCCATGTAAATCCTTTAAATATGATTAAAAAGGGCTGCCTTACATCTTCATTCCAGTCCTCTGAAGTCCAGTCTTCTACATTGCCTGTCCATGTTCCTAAAAATACAGATCAGCAGTCAGGTTAGCCGTAATGTTGTCAGCAACCAAAATAGTATTGTGAAAAAAATAGCACCACAAATGCTTCTTTACAAAACAGAATTTCTGGCTTTTCAATCCATTCTGTGGATAAATTTAGCTTAAAAGTCTCACTGTTTTGCGGCATTTGCATGCCAGGAGAAGCTAATACTTTTAAGAGGATTCTGTTATTTCCTTTACCGGCTCCCTCTGCGTGTTCGTTGCCATCCCCTTCCCATGTTTCCTGCCGATTTCCAGAGTTAGCAGAGTAGTCAGCAGGATTGAAGGTACTGGAATAAGTACAGAGTGGAGATAGTAAATATATAAAGGAAAGTGAAGGAAATACATTCTGGTCTATTGTGGCAAATACATGCTACAGAATGAGGAGATTCAGAATTATTTTTTTTCCACAGATTGTATTGAGATATGTGCTTGTTATTACCATCATCATCTCCTTATAAATCTTCAGGTGCAATATTTACAACAAACATATTCTTACCCCATTCCCTGGGTGGAGAATCTGTTGCCAGCAGCTGCTCTTCCTCTCCCACGAGTCCCTGTCCCTGAAGAAAACACAAAAACAGATGACTTGTACAGACTGGTCCTTTACGTGACCAAACATTTCTACAATGATGTCTGAGATGACTCACTGCATATTTCTCAAGAACATTATTTGATGTTGACCCGCCTGTCTTCTTTTTTGTTGAACACCTGCATACATTTCTTTTAATGGTGTCATGCCTGATTTTCTTATCTAAAATGTAGCACTTTTTCAGGCCTTTGCTAAATATGGTATTCACTAATACAGTGCAAATTAACAGGAATAATAGCAAAACAATTATACAGCTGGTCTTTTTACAGGAGACTAAAATTGTCTTAATAAATAAAGATCTGTTTTTGACCTAGAAACACTTTTTCCTTGTGGTTTTACCTGACATTTAACAACCACACACAAAGACAGCCAAGAATATAAATATATATATAAAGATTTCTCCACTGATAAAGCATACCCAGCTATCTTGCAATTTTTCTAAAGAAGACCCTGATGATCCTCACCTAGATAAATTGTTAGACAGCAAGCCCACAAATCCAGTCAGACTCCCCCACACTTCCCACCTTCTCAAATCTCTTGCACTATTGACAACATCCCCACACGCCCCGTCACACAAACACACACGCACACACACACACAACCCCACACGAGCAGCTGTGGGGAATGAACACATTCCAGACATGTTGAGTGCTGCAATGCTTTAAAAGCCTACGGACACAAATAGACAAGCTGCCAACTACGTCACCAAAATATGCAAAATAACAACGAGGCATAATACATAACTGCACTCTCAAAAATAGGCATTACAACGTACTTAGATTTTCACATGTAAAAGATTATTTTGACCACATACACCATGGCATACAGGTAAACAGAATCAGATTTGCCTTGACAATATTTTGGCTTACAAAACAAGCTTCCAGTTTACTTTTGAATTGGCCCCTTTTCAATTTTTATTCAGTGGTAATTGAAATCTCTTTACAACTCCTAAGACTTTTGAAAATTTGAACTAACTGGAGGCATTAGATATCACATTTTCATCGCTCTATTGTAAACATTACTGAGAAATCATGAACAAATGGCAATGCCTTCAAAAGTTTCCGTTAAACTCACCTCTTCCCCGCCCCCTGCGTCCTGGGTCTCCCCGTCTCTCTCCAGGAGCCACCTCGAACCCATTCTCCTCGACCCGACCTGGAATAGAATGATAGACATATATAGCTTAGTTAATAAAGCAAAAAGAAAAGAAATCGACATTTCAAACATGCATCACACAAAGAGGACACCATTTTTACAAATACATCGACACAATCCAGACTACTCATCCTCCAGACTGGGTAAACATTGTTAATTCCTATCTTACCTTCACGCCCTCTGCTGATGCCTCTGCCCCTCCTGTTAGACCCCCCACGTCCACGACTGGTCTCCCTCTCTAGTCCTCTCTTCTCCCTGCTGTCTTTTATCTCTGAGGGTCCTCCTTCTTTCCCAATGTTCCGCTTCTTCCCCACAGTTTCCCAGGAGTTCTGGCAGATTTAAACCAAAGAATTAGGTTGACTCAAAAATACACTTTTACTATGGCTGAGGTTTTGAGTAGTTCATGTCATTTTAGTTTCCGCAAAACCTACGAGCTGGCATATGAAAATGGAAAACAAGCTGTGGTGTTGATGTAATTGCATATGAAGACTTACTGTGTCAGAGGTGCTCTCCAGCAGGAAATTGATGGCTCTGTTTACATCTTCATTGCAGTCATGGAGGGCTACCATGCACTCATCTTGAGTCTTCCCAGTAACCTCAATCAGCTGTGAGAGTGCAAAACAGGAACACAAAGATATGGGTTACATGACCAAGTGATGCAATAAGGATCACATGCACCATAAATCAAAGAAGATATGCCATAAATATCGTACAAATATGTGAATATGCACAAATAGATTACCTGTTTGACCTTGTCCTCAAAGTCTGCATCATTTTTGTCATAGATCATCTGGGCTAAACGAATCTGTTCTGCTGTGGCCTGATAAACAATCAAACATGAAACAAATTCAGTGAGAAACAAAACAATTAGGATACAAGACAGCTGGCATTTATAGGCAAAGGCCCTACAATCCTTCTAAAACAACAAAATAAGAAATTGTCCCTTAAAAGCAGGATGTTAAGTTTCACATATCTCACATTCTACGTTCATTATTAGTATTACAACTTTCTATGCTAAACATGACAATCTTTCATTTGTATAAAAATAATCGATGAGCTGTGTTTCAATTGTAGGACAATTAATTATGCCTGATCACAACTTTGTATGTAAAACAGTGAGAACCCACCTGTATCTGTTTCTGTGGTTGTGTTGTTTGTGTGGTGGTGGGCAGCATTTTGTCCCGAGTCCCCCGGGATTGGTTGCTGACCACTGAAGTCATCATATACAGTATATACAAAACAATGTATGTACAAAATAGAAAAATCTGTGAGGGGAATAAAAAGGACAAAATGGGGTCAAATGACAGCCATCAGTTACTACATGTCAATTCCAGATACAATTTCAAACTGAATAAATGGCGAATTACTAAAGGCGGGGAAATATATCGAGTTTTTAAGATATATCGATATATTTTCAAACAAGATATCGGGTAAGACAATATCGATATAGTATATGTTACATTAAAATAACGTTACAGAGGTGCCAGGTCACCTTTTTCCTCATCTCACTGATGATGACTGACTGACTGTCCCTCTTAACCCTGCTCCTCCTCTCTCTCTCTTTTATTGTATTTAAGCAACATTTGTATTTTATAATATTACTTTTTAAATTCACAAACAGGTAGTTTATTTTTCCATGTGTTTTCACTGTTAATAAAAGGCATATCGATATATATCGAGTATCGCCATTCTACGGTGGCTGGGAAGTGCAAAGCAAAATTACAAAGTGTTAAACACTTTTACAAAATGTGAGACAAATTTACATTTTGATTTTTTTTTTTTTACATTTTGTGAAACAAAATTACAAAACCAAAAACACTTACCAAGGACAAAACAAATGTACAAGATGTGAAACACTTTTACAATCACTGAGACAAATTTACAGGAGGCATAACACTTTTACCAGTCACCAAACAAATTTACAAACGACAGAATCTTGACGGAAAGGGAACGTACAAAAACGACAAAACAAAAACAAACAAAATGACCCCTCACTCCATCACTTCCGGGTCACTTTACTGACATTTGGTACATTCCCATTTTGTCAAGATTCTGTCGTTTGTAAATTTGCCTCATCGCTTGTAAAAGTGTTTCACATCTTGTAAATGTGTTTTATTAAATGTAAATGTGTTTTTTCCTTGGTATAAGTGTTTTGGTTTTGTAATTTTGTTTTCTAAAAATGTAAAAACATTTGTAATTTTGCTTTGCACTTATCAGCCACTGTAGAAAGGGAATGTACCACGACAAAAACAAAACAAACAAAATGACCCCTCACATCACGTCCGGGTCACTTTACTGACATTTGGTACATTCCCATTTTGTCAAGATTCTGTCGTTGGTAAATTTATCTCATTGATTGTAAAAGTGTTTCACATCTTGTAAATGTGTTTTTCAAAATGTAAAGTTGTCTCACATTTGTAATTTCGCTTGCACCTCCCAGCCACCGTACCATTCAGATAAACAATATCGAGATATAACTTTTGGTCCACATCGCCCGATTACGATTAACTTTAACATTAAATCACCAGTCAGAGACGAGCTGTTGTCATGTAAGTATACCATGTAAGACTACAACCCCATCTGTTGCCCCCCCAACCTCCCAGTTTAAATTTAGCCAGCCAAGTGGGACTGTCCTGGTGTCATCTTACAATCCTCCCTTAGACATTAAAAGAGCTGTGAGTATGCACAAGCATATGTTAAGTATTAATAAACACCTCATTGCCCAATATGAGATTTGATTTCCAATGGAAAGTGAACACAATACAGTGGATGTGTGATACCCTGACCACCTGTCTTACATTATGTCACACACAGTTTCTGGTTGCTAAAGAACCAAAATGACAACAAATGTGTTTTTAATGGGTGTGGACAAACTACTGTGAGGGTTGAAAACTGTCGACGTAGCGTTTAGCTGCTTAAATCAGCCTCTTTATTCAACGGAAATGAACCCAGATCGTGTTGAGATGAAACTCAAAACAAGTCTGTAACCTGAGCTGCGCTGGCTCACGTTAGCTCGCGTTAGCTTCAGCAGGCTAATCGCTTCGTCTTTGTTCGGAGAGATTCGACACACACGCTCTTCACGAAGCGTTTTTAACAGTCAAAACACACACAATTCAACTCTCAGTCGATGATATTACTGTCCGAGCGGGATGATAACCTCGGCAACACAATAACTAAACGACAGTGACAAGTCGGAAGATGTTTCCCTTTGTGTTAAAAAAAAAAAAAAAAAAACCCGAGAGAGAAGCTAACCATGCTAACGTTAGCATCTGTGTAACTGAAAGGAAAAGCAACACGCGTGGTGATAGCGTTTAACACCGGCTGATGTGAGACACCGAGGCGGGTGTTGTGGACGTAGTTTGACTGAAAAGCAGGGTAAAAGTGTGACACAAAACGCGTGTCCCGCTCATGTTTCGGGGGCAGACAGCAGTCGGCATGTGAACGGCCCGTCCGCTCACAAAGCAGCGCCGCAGCCCGGACTGTAGCATGCGAGCTACTTTGTTAGTTAGCATTTTCAGCGAACAAGACGAAGCTGTTCATCGAGTCAGTCTCCTTAAACTTCCTCAAAAACTACACCAGTTCACGCTCAAGTAGTTTAAATGTCTTAAAAATCGATGTAATCAGCGGAATAAATCTTTATTCGTTCTTTACCTGCTAACACGCTTCGCTCAGCCAGCAGCAGATGCTGTCACGTGACCCCACCGCGCCGTTGTTGTACGGTGTGGAGCCGAATCAGCCAATCAGAAGCCGTCAAGCGGGTCAGGTGGTTCTACGGGCGTACCTTTACGTGCGCGTTCCGGACGGACAGGGAGCGCGCTTTGTTAATAAGTTATGTACCTGGTAGAAACAGGTTTGATTTTTCTTTTCTTCTCCTGTGTACGGTGGCTGGGAAGTGCAAAAGCAAAAATTACAAAGTGTTAAATACTTTTACAAAATGTGAGACAATTTTACATTTTGAAAAACACATTTACATTTTATGAAACAAAATTACAATTTACGGTGGCTGGGAAGTGCAAAGCAAAATAAAAAAATGTGAGACAATTTTACATTTTGAAAAACATATTTACATTTTACATAAACAAACAAGTACATAAATAAATGTTCATAAAAGTATAGAGGAGAAATGAAAATCATAAATAAAAGTTGTAATCATAAATAAATAAATTATAATCCACTCAAAGATATCGCATGTTAAAGTACAGGTGCGAAGTCAACCCCAAATTAAACATCACTCTATTGCATTAGTGAAGCCAGTACAGGTCTCCATCTTGTTGTGAATGTTTCTTTTTGGAGTCTTAATTGGTATGTAATTTGTTCCATTTGGTATTTGTCCCAAACTTTCTGGATCCATATGTTCTAAGTGGGAGGGTCTGGTTTCAACCAGCGTATGGTGATACATTTACATTTAATAAAACACATTTACAAGATGTGAAACACTTTCACAATCAATGAGACAAATTTACAAACGACAGAATCTTGACAAAATGGGAATGTACCAAATGTCGGTAAAGTGACCCGGACGTGATGGAGTGAGGGGTCATTTTGTTTGTTTTGTTTTTGTCGTTTTTGTACATTCCCTTTCCGTCAAGATTCTGTCGTTTGTAAATTTGTTTGGCGACTGGTAAAAGTGTTCTGCCTCTTGTAAATTTGTCTCAGTGATTGTAAAAGTGTTTCACATCTTGTACATTTGTTTTGTCCTTGGTGTTTTTGGTTTTGTAATTTTGTTTCATAAAATGTAAAAATGTTTTTCAAAATGTAAATTTGTCTCACATTTTGTATAAGTGTTTAACACTTTGTAACTTTGCTTTGCACTTCCCAGCCACCGTACCTGTGGAGAACTCAAACTGCCAAACACTGAAGCTGTCTGGGCTTTAAGCCAACTTCTAAACACACGCGCGACGCACATACCTTAATATTTACAGTCTGTGGCTCACACACACAAACTAATTTGTTTTATTGGAAAAACTACATATTTGGACATTCAAAGCAATGATCAAATCTCCCACAGACTGAAAAAAAAACATGTTTATTTCAGGATAAAGAACAATTTATCGTAGAAACGAATTCTTTCCATTGTTTAAATTCCTAAAAAGAAACAAGTATATCTCTAATGACCTGAAAAGCAAAACTAAATGCAATCTTTTATCATATAAATTATATAAAACTGTAGCACCAGAACATTGTTCTTTGCAAGTAAACAGCTCAGTGCAAAATATTGTAACATCAAAAGTCAGGGTTTAATAAGCCCAGTACAAAACCAAACACATCCAACAAGTTCATGTCTCAAAATGGATATATATATATATATATATATATATATATATATATATATTTGTTTGGATTTACACAAAAAAAACTCTAATTTTATAGTTGTTTCTGTCTGACCATCAGGCCCAAGCTGAAGATTAAATAATAATTTAAAAAGTCCAATATAAGCATAAACTTCAATGCCTTTACAAAACACTGACCACTTGGATTAGGTTGGATTTGAAGATACTGTGTGCAGTAAATACAAAGCAGCAATTAAAACAACTTGTTTAATACATCAACCCAGTGTTTTTTTTTATCTTAGTAAAACAAGTATTTGATGGTTACATTAAATTCTGTATGCATTAGAATCAGCATGTATGCAGGACACAGATACAGAAAACTCCCCGCATATCTGCACACAAACACGCACACACACGCACACATATGCATAAATATACTGATGGACATAACATTCCCAGATTTTAACATAGTAATCCAATACATCATGGCATTCATCTGAAACTCTTCCAAAAAAAACACACCACACACAAGTAAGATTTTTCCAATTGTTGATTGTCCAAGTAACATTTTAAATAAAATAAAAAAAACCTTCACTGAATTTATTGTTTTAAGTGAGAAACATATATTGCAGAATCAAAAGCACAACTTTCTGTAACAGAGATTTCTTCCTTGTAAAGGTCACACTTTCATTGTAAAATGAGTAACTTGTTGTGTTTCAAGTAATTCAACTATTTGGATCATTATTATGTTCTCTTTGGTTGTGATAGTGTGCCGAGTGAGAGTGACTGAGTTTGAGATATGGCTGCAGCTCAGCCATCATGCTTTCGACACACCGAGCCTTTCTCTCCATGATCTCCTCCAGTTTGTGAACATACTCTGAAAATGCCTGTTCAGAAGGAGAGAAGAGAGAGAACAATTAAATCAATTAAAACAATTTTTAGAAAAAGGGAAAAAGAAAGAAAGGAAAACCCAAAATGCTACTTTAAGTTTTCTGACCATGTCAGGCTGCTGGCACAGAAGATTCCCATCTTTATGAAATAAAGCTTCCATCTCTTCCAGCTGCTCCCAGTGGGCCTGGATAACACGCCACCTGGAGATACAAAAAATCTTTATTTTCTTTGAAGAAAGTCTGTATTATTTCTGTAAGTTAAGGATGAAAATGAGAACAGACTTTGAAATCCCTTAAGTTCATTTGGGTTTCAGTATTATCATTTGCTTTGGCCTCTTAAACACAATATGGTCAGTATCAATATAAGACGGCCAAATTGTGAGATTTTTGGTACTTACTGGGCAACATCTGAGTCTTCAAAATCAGGCAGATTTATCATGTTTCCAGTTTTCTCATTGCCGGTGCTCCCTTGAACATTTGATTCTGTCCCTTCATTTGGTCGCTGAGAGATGTTGGAGTTGCTTGAAGAGGTAGAATGAACTGTGTGACGTTGTTTTGGTGATGTTTTCAACCGTCCCGAGACACTTTCTGATGGTGTTGTTGAATTTGAAAGAGGGAGTTTGTCGTGCATTTTGTGGGCACACTCTGGCGGCGGCTGGGTGGCACCATGAGTCTTAAGATTGTGTGTGATGGGTGTAGGATTGTTCCTGGAGGGTTGGACAGATGATGAGATGGACTGAGTGACAGAAGTCGACGCCGCACTTGTCGAGGGTTTGAGTGGGTCTTGGTTGCTCAGAACTTCTATTTGACTCGTTTGAGGTCTCTGGTTGATCTCCTGGTTCCGGAGAGAATACAGCAAAGCCTCAGGGACAGGGAGCTTCATGATACCTGAATGAGACAAATACCCATACATATGAGTAATACAAATATTTTTCAACACAAGAGGTGTGCTTGCCCCTGACAAATATCCCATATTACAAAAAAAACCCTAAACCTCATGTTTTCAAAAAATAAAAAACAAAACAAACCAACATTAACAACTCATTAAAACTAAACTCTAATTAAAAGCAAAATTCAAAACCACAATAACCTTGCTCAGTAGTGGTCATTGTTACGTGGTTCGAGATAGAAGCGCCATGGGTCCTTCCTCGTGTCATCTCCAGAAGTGAGAGGCGAAATTCCTCTTCTCCTCCGTCTTTCATCGCCTCGTCCAAACACGCGATACGCTCTTTTTTTTCCTCTCCCTTCCTGCTTTCATTTCTTCCATTGTCAGGAAAATACAGCGAGCTGGTTTTGGGTTCTCCTCGGAGGAAAGAAGATGTGGCGGCCCGTTGGTCCACTTGAAGCAAGGAGATACTCAGAGGGTCCATGACGGGGCTAAAAGAAGCGTCTTGATGAATGACGCCAGACTTTATGGCTTTGGAATCAGTGGGAGAAAGTGTGTCTGATGGAGTGTTTGAAAATTGTCTTGTATTGGCATCAGGTGAAAACAAAGGTTTCTTCTCTCTACAGCTGCCTGATGGCACTACAATCGTGGATTTCTGCGGTCGTAGAGGCAGGTCGTTTGAGGTGCCTTTGGTTTGATAGAACTTAACGGAAGGTTCACTGAGTTTATTAGACTTCAGGAGGGTGTTGGTATGTTCACAGCCGGGGGAGAGAGGTCGTTCTGCTGGAGCTCGATGATGGGATGACTCAACAGCAGGTCGAGTGAAAAGGCCATCGCTGTCATTGCTCCATGATCCATCATCTGGGATATCAGAGCGGTCCTCGCCCTCTGCTCTCCACTCCTCTGAATCACAGCTGTGAGACACTTGTGCCTCGACAGCAGCTGGTCTTGCACCTGTCTGTTCTGTCTCTGTCGCTGCCTCCCAAGCCCACCTCCTCCCTCCCACTCCTTCCATCCCAGCTGGCCTCCAATCGTCTCTTCTCACTCTTCCACTTGAGTCACCATCACCGACCTCTTCCTGATTTCTACAGCTTTGAGAGGTCTCTCCAGCGGGGACAGACGACATTAGTCCTCCATCAGCCTTGGCTCCACACGACTCTAAAACTTCTTTCAAACCTTGACATGTAAGTGCAGAAGCCGAGAGACGGGAAGAGTGTCGGAGCGATGAACGAGAAGATGGAGAGGCAGAGGAGGCGTTGGAAGGAGAGAAAGACGGACCTGTAGAAGGTGAGAGGAGATGGAGGGAAGAAGAAGCAGATGAGGGGATGAACTGCTGAAGCTGCTGGTGATAACGTCTCAGATGCATCTCTTTCTCCTCACCCCTTTCATCACTCTTTTGTAAATCTCTTCCCCTTTCAATTTCTACTCCAATAGAGTCTGCACCGCTTCGTTGTTGTCTTCTCGATCTTCTTTCTCCTTCTATTCCCCCTTTCCAAGTGCTTTGCTGGTTTCCCCTTTCTCTTTGGTAGAATCCACACTCCCTGGTGATTTGGTCGCCCAATGAGTACCCTGCACCGTCACTTTCTTCAAACCTTTCTCTTCCTCTTCTTCCTCCCTTCTCACCTGCTGTCTTCCTACTATCCCCCGTTCCCAGTAAACCTCTGACTGGTGTAATTCGTTCCAGTTTAACTTCCTCTCTACGTCTGCTGCTCTTGGGTGTGGAGCAGAAAATTGGGCCTCCAGTGGCCAACCTCGTGGTCGGTGTTGTTGGAACAGGAGCCTCTCTTTGCCTCGCTAACTTCGGCTTTTTAGGGGGGCTTTTCCCTCGGATGCAAACGCCGCTGCCTCCACTAGTGCTGCTGCTGCTGGTGCTTTTGGACAGGTTACGTTTTGGGGAGGTTTTTCCTCTTCTCCCTCCTCTAAGTCCTCCCTGTCCTTTCAACTCCTTCACCCTTCAACACATCAGAACAATGGCATATCAAGTACCAGATATAGATTGTACTTATGAGCTACTATTGTCCCGTATCATATATCAAACACACACACACACACTTACCGGTCGGCGTATCTCAGTGTATTAAGTGTGTGTTCGGTTGCCAAGTGACCAGGCGAAATGTTGGCAATCATGCATGTCATCGAGTCTCCAATAAACGAGTCCTTCAAAACCTAAAATGAGATCAACACCACCCAAGACACAAGAGAGTTTATTCATCATACCATGATATCTATGCACACTTATCACAAACTACAGAAGAGTTGTGTAAAATTACCTGAGTGAGTTTGCTTTGCCTGAAAGGTGTGTGCGACTGCTCTTGATCAAGGGACCGGATACATTCTTTAAGCTGATAAAACAAACGAAGTTGGGAAATATTAAACTTTAAAGGCTTTATATGTGATTGTTTGATCCAGCAGATGTCGCCCTTGAGCACCAGCATGAAACCAAAACAACTTGCGCTGCATTGTTGTGTTAGCATGCTAATGCTAGCGATCTTTATTATGCTGGTATCTTCACACTGCATGTAAATTTACCTGAAATGAGCGTGATCTAGAAACACAGTTAAGCAGTGAGTACAGTATGTTATTCTTCTTTTCTCTAGTCCCTCAATTAAACAACTTTTATACACGAGGGGAGGAGTCAGCCGGCCGTCCGGGCGATGTAAACAAACTGAAGATAGGACTCTGAAAACCCTGAAAACATCACAGACAGTCATGACTCACAGAGTTATTTTCAGAGGATATACTTGATTTATATTACATTTAAGTATGAAAAATCACAAATAAAGCCTTTAACACATCTGTTTGATTTAATGTGCAGCTTGTGAGTGTATGACAATCAGTGTGTGTAGCTTACAGCCAAGAGACTCTGATTGATCTCAGCTCCCTCCATACGACTCTGCCTGTCTGGTTCTCTAGTATCTGAGGCCCTCTCACTTCCTGCCAGGTCCACAAACCACATCCTGTAGACACACAAACCCACATTTGTTTTACAACTTAAGAGATTTCACATCAGTAACCATAAATTGATTGATAATCTACATAAACTTAGTCGTGCTCACTCACCTACCAGCGACCTGCTGGTTTGGACCTCTGAGCTGAATCTGAAGCAGCGCGTGAGAACGAGAGGAGAGCGGATTCACTCCACTCACCCCCTGCGTGCGTTCCTCTGTGCCCTGTGCGATCACCTTTACAGTGCAATGAAAAATACAGGAGGAGGAAGACGAGAGAGAGAGACATTAAGGTTTTAAAGCACATTCAAAGAGATTATTTCAGTTTTATATAGGGAACTCAAAAGTTTGCTGGTAGATCTGTGAACATATAAGCACAGAACTAGTGTATTTTAGGTGCCTGGTAGATAACCAGGGAGGTGCCATGTCATATGACTTGTAAGCTATTATCAGAATGAATAGTATTTACATTTACTTTTCTAATATATATGTATTATAATGATAATAATAATAATAATGGTGCAATAATATTCAAGGCTCCTTCAACCCTGAAGACTGCCGGATTGCGCTTGATTTTTCTGAATACCTTTTTTGTATCAGGTAACTTTTTTTAAAGGGCATGAATAAATGTGGGAATGGAATACATTTTATTATTTTCTTTTTGAGGAGCACAACAGATTCCATTGTGCAATGACAGAGGAATAATTCTATTCCTAAATTGGAGGGTTTAGGGGCACGGCCTACGATAACGGTTTTGTTGCTTGCACCACATACAGAAGCTATAGTCCTCATCGCAGCGCCCTGGGTTTGAATTCGACCTCAGCCCTCTGCTGTATGTCACACTCTCTCTTCCCTTCATTTCCTGTTTCTCTTCAGCTGTCCTATCCAAAAAAGGCAAAAATGGTCCTAGAATATAACTTTAAAAAAAAGCTTGAGGGCTTATCTCTGAACATGGACCCTATTTTATGAACATGCTCAAACCTTCAGCAGTGAGCTCACTGAGTCCACTCTGACGTCACGCAGCCCGGCAATATGAACCACCTTCTGTCCATCTTCCCTCGCAAATAACCTGAGGGAGGAATTAAGGAAAAGAGAAAGAGATTCGTACGGGGAAATAGTCGAAAAAGAATGACTCAAGCTATAAAAGAATTTCAAGCGTTAAAAAAGGACATGCTGGTTCAATCTGAGGATGTTACTAAAGAATACTTCATCCTTGTTGGACATCTTGGGCTTTAAGGACACAAATTGCAATTTGAAAAATCATATATGTAAGTATATAAGTATATTTACTGTTGGTAATATAACATAAACATGCAACTAGTAATTCAGCGTAAAAAAATGTCATAATCAAACCATCAAAATACACTTTTTTTAATTGTTACTTTCTGGTCACATTTTTATCCTGTACTTAATGCAAGCTCCACTATATGATTTTTTTTAAACACACACACCTTTTCCTGTGGTCCAACAAGTCATACAGCTGCCCACAGTAGATTTCAAAGAAGCTGACATACACCTGAATGGGTGAGTGCATGTTTTTGTTGGAAAGGTGAGTAAAGATGTCCCGGACTGCCAGGGCGTACAAGCCCGGTCTCCTGGGAGATGATCCCAACATGGTGTGGGTTTTTCCTGCACCTGTTTGCCCGTATGCAAAGCAGGTGGCCTTGCCTCTGTGGACACACGACAGCAGCATAGATAGTTTAAAAAAAAGCTCGATGTCATGAGCCCCTTTCACACATGCAATCCTGAACATTTCCAGAAAGCTTGCCCCTGATGAAGGTGTTGGACGAAGAAAACTATGATGATGGTCAAAGCTACATGATCCCAAGATGTAAATTAGAGGCTGCCGGGAAAAAGCCGAGATAAAGTCAGGGTGAAAAATGTGTTCGATTGTGTTGCGAAAAGTATTTGAGGACAGCATGTCCACACATTAAAAGATGGATTAAAAACATGGAGCTGGGGGCGGCGGTGATCTAGTGGTTAGTGTGTGCCCCACATGTATGGAGGCTATAGTCCTCCAAGCTGGTGGCCTGGTTTTGAATCTGACCTGTGGTTTCTTTTTCCGCATATCATTCCCTACTCTCTCTCTCGATTTCCAAATCTATCCACTGTCCTCTCTCTAAAAGGACATGGAGCTGAAAAGCCACGAGCATGTACCTAAAATGTTGCATTTGGAACGGATGGTTACATTACCCTTTGAGCACGTGCTGCACCAGAGGATAAGTTGTTCTTCGATACACATCCTCATTGGAGCTCTCCTCCCCAAAAACCTGGTCGAAGTAGAACCTGTGCTATAGGGACAGATAAGAAAGGGGGGGGAGTCATGACAACAGGTCGGGGAACAGCAAACTTTTATAAACATTAAAATAGTGTGATGATATGTGCTCATTAGGAGGTGCTTCAGTTTGTATTTTAGATGTGACTAAAGTTAATTTACTCAACTAAATGGAGATTTATCATCGTCTCCTCCCTGAGCATTATATCTACCTGTAGTATGTACTGCGTGAGATCCACAGCCTCTTTGCTCTCATGGACGATCACACACTCTCCGTTTGGAGTTGTGACGACATCTGCCTCTCCTCTCCTGCACTCTCCGCGTGTTTGAGGTCTTTTCCTCACGCACACACTGATCCGCTGCCCGCCTGCCTGCCTGCAACACACATACAAAAACACACACAGAGCACATACGATCAACAAAGGGAAGATCCCGTCCAGAGAACAGTCTTTGCCGATGCAAACTTCATGGAAATGTCCCGATGCAAAGAGAGACCAACACAAGTGGAATCCTACAAAGTTGTAACTCCATGTAAGCTTGTTCCTGTAGCTATAAGCATTTAATTTGCTGATTTTTAAGTAACATTTCTGCTTATCATGTTGTAGTTTGGATTACCTGCATACAGACACTGTGGTGCCTTGTAACTGCTTTGTTTTGCAGTTTCATAATCATTTACTAAATAAAACATGGACGTCATATCACTGATGTCACCCATTGTTTTGTGCCCTTTGAAGGCAAAAAGTGGTCGCCATATTGGGAAATACTCAATCAATCCGGTAACAGGCAAAGAGGTGGATTTGAGGCGGGCCTTAAGCCTCCTAACAAACAATTTGCTCACCTGTCAGTCAAATCAGTCCAAACCCCTGACTATGCAAATGTATTCAAAAATTCCCCCCCCCACCCCTCTGTCAGTGTGTATGAATAGATGAGCTATAGAAACCAATACTATTATTTTTGTAACATATGTTGGAGCTATTTAATTGTTGTTAGAATGAGTTTTGGTATTTAGTTTATTAATATTTGGGTGTTGTTGTTTATTTAATTATTCTACACGTTTTCTTTATTTAGAATAGATTTTGGGTAATATTTTCTTTTGCTAGTTATTTGTTTAGTAAATTTAGTTTTGCATTAGAATCTTTTTTTAGGTATTTGGGTAACACTGTGGGCACCAGAGGTTATTTAAGTAAGAGGCAGGTAGAGGACCAGCATGCACCTGGGTGGGATTATGGTTTTTTACCAAAGCAAGAGAGGCAGCAGGAGACACGATTTTCTTTGTTCTTTTGTTTGCTTTCTTTAAATAAACTGCAGATCTCTTGCATGGACATTGGATTTTTTTTGCCTGCGTACATCACATCCCCCATGGTGCATCAGTGGTCATTTGATTATGTTTGATATTACTTTATTTAGATGTTTTATGTTTTTGGACAAATAGCCACTACAACATACTTTAAAGCTTTATTTCTGCTGAATTCTATGGATTTAAAGTATCCAAGGTGGGGATGAATTGTATACTGGCTCTAACGATGAAAGAGAACCACAATGTAATCAGTGTGTAGTAAATTAATGAAGCCTGGAAAGAGGAATGTCCTTAAAGAGAGAAAGCGATAGAGAGCATTAGAATGAGATCGAAGAGAAGGCAAAAAAGTGAGGACGTCAAAAGGAAAAAAAAAAAACACATTTGCTTGGATTTTGAGGCCTTAAGTGGACACTCAAAGAAGTGCAGAAGTGCACTTTTTGCACTTTGCAATGCTTTATTTATTCTACACTGGAGGCTGGTGCTTGTTAATAACAAAGGTCTCTTGAGTTCTGATTTTTATTATGGCAGCTTTTCTTCGTAATTTCGATAAAGATTTAACATGAACACATTGGGAAGGGAGGGGGGGCAGCAGCTGTTAGGCTATTAGATGTGATGGATGGGCCATGCCATGTGACTTGTAAGCTACAGGATGCTGGGGTTTCCCTCAGGATCAATCACATACTTATTTATCCATCAAACTCAATGCATAGCAAATTACTGCATTGATTTGTAATATGAAACAAGCAGTGCAGACAAAGAAAACCCCCCAGGTCACTTACCTCTCATGTGCTGCAGCAGGAGAACTCAGAGGTAGTCCGTAGTTGTACCCGGCTGTCCTCTTTGATTCATAAACAGGAGTTTGTTTACTCGTGTGTCCAGGAGCCGTGTTACAACTTATTTCCTTCCTTGAGATACATTTTCTATCTTTGTGCGTCACAGCTTGTTTGTTGCTAAACCTCTGTGATGACGCTGCTGCAGGCCTGGGGTTTGGTGGTGATAATAATCGAATGTGCGAGTAGTACATGGACGTTCCTTCTGTGATGTCCGGCTTGCTGTTTGCGCCTGATTGTAGATAATGTGAATCCTGAGACTGGTTGTTGTTTCCTCTGCAGATGCATGCACAGGCACTCTCAGTGTTACAGTCAGGCTGAACATCTGTGACTGATGCTTTGTGCTGGTCATCATAAATCGGATGATAAAAAAGCTTCTGATGCTGATCAGGGTCTTTACTACTGAAATCTAGCCTTCTGCAAACACTTGAAGAACGGTCTAGCGTCATCAAGTCGACACCATTTTCTTCCTCGTCGTCATAGATTTCTTCATCACCTCTACAGTCATCGTCATTAAAACTTCTTCTATCCACTTCATCGACATCATCAGCGTAGTAAACATCCTCATCCTGGTGTTCAAGGCTCTCCAGGTCAAGATTCTTGACCATTTGGATGAGACTGAAGAGTCGAGTCCTGTCCTCCATAGAGCGGATTCCCAGGATGGGAAAGTCCTCCATGGTGAGCGCTGAAAGGTGGACTGCACGACAAACTCCCACTGAGGTAAACCTGAATCACAAGAGAGAAATCAGTGAGACAGATCAGAGTAAGAGAGGCATGGGCGTCATATTGGGGGGAACAAGTGGGACTGACTTCCCATCGGAGTGTTTTTAGGATTTGTTTGTGTCTAGGTCATAATTGTCAACGTATAAATGAACATGATTCTTAACTCTGACAAAAAAATTGTAAAAACCTTTCAGATGCTTAAAAGACGACAAATGTGAGAAAGATATTACAGACTTTGATTCAATGTTATTGTTTGATTTAAACTGCAATTTGAGTTTTTAGGGATGAAACACAAAGTTAGGTTTTCTTAAATGAGTCACTTTCATTTTAAACTTCTGTAAAAAAAAAATATATATATAAAAAATATATATATTAAAATGAATTGTAACAAATACCTGTTTGGAAGTCTGAGGCACCCAATATATTGGTTTCATTTCTTGTTTTTAATGACCACGTGAAACGTAAAGGTTGCTGTGTTTTTGTGCAGTTTAAACAGATAGCAGGTGTTTGCCTGTTATTGATGGACTCTATTGTCTCTTCCTCACCTTTGTAACTAAAGACAGATACGGCTTCTTTAAGCTAAAGCATCTTTCGATTGTGTCGATCATTCATATAAAACAGACTGTATCCTTTTGAAGTCAACATGAAATGAAAAACACATTTTACAAAATAAAATACAATCCAGTGTTCCTGTGTCAAATGTTCATTTATCTGCCAATTATATTTCAATAAAGCACTATGAGGTTTTTTTTTTTTTTACATGAAAATAGCGATAGCTTCTCTTCCTGTTCCTCCTCATGCTGCATTCAGGGGCGTTAACTAATTTTTCAACGATCCAATAAATTCAAAGTTTATTTCCGGCTTTTATTGCGATTGGTTCTGAGGTATTGATGAGTTTGTCCCCAGTAAAAAATGTTAACGACCTTAATTTAAGTTTTAAATGTGTAATGGAGGTGTTGTCATGGCAATATCGTAGGGTTGACTGAAGCTGTGGTGGAGGGGCCCAGAATCCCTGACGACGCCCCTGAGCAGAGGACAGTGCAGAGAGAGTGAGAGAGTGAGCGAGTGAGTGAGTGAGTGAGAGAGTGAGTGAGAGAGTGAGAGAGCGAGTGAGTGAGTGAGAGAGTGAGTGAGAGAGTGAGTGAGTGAGTGAGCGAGTGAGTGAGCGAGAGAGTGAGTGAGAGAGTGAGTGAGAGAGTGAGCGAGTGAGTGAGAGAGTGAGTGAGTGAGTGAGTGAGTGAGTGAGAGAGCGAGTGAGCGAGTGAGTGAGTGAGTGAGTGAGTGAGTGAGTGAGTGAGTGAGTGAGAGAGTGAGTGAGTGAGTGAGTGAGTGAGTGCGTGAGAGAGTGAGTGAGTGAGAGAGCGAGTGAGTGAGTGAGTGAGTGAGTGAGTGAGTGAGAGAGCGAGTGAGTGAGTGAGTGAGTGAGAGAGAGAGTGAGTGAGAGAGCGAGTGAGTGAGAGAGTGAGCGAGTGAGAGAGCGAGTGAGTGAGTGAGAGAGCGAGTGAGTGAGAGAGAGAGCTTACCTTGCATAGTGATGCTGCAGCCCAACAGCTCTGAGACACTCCTGCAGGCAAAATGACATTTCCTCTTCTTCCTTTTCTCTTTCTTTTTCTTTGAGTTTTCTCCACCTGCCCTGGGAGTGGCAGAGCGTTTGTTTTAGTTTCTCCATAATTGTTCGACCGATGTAAAGGTACACAAAAAAAAAACTCAAAACAACGTCCTTCTTGCACCTCACAAACTACCTACTGCAGCCAAATTACTTTTCTGTAACACTGTTATCCTCTCTGTTTTTCCCTAACCAGTCTGAGACTGATGCCCAGTGGTCTGTTCAGTCAGTGTGTCATTACTACCACACTGCACTGGTGTGACAGCACACTGGTAAGATGCTGTAATCTGACACTAGGTCAGGAAGCAGCACAGAGCAGCCATGTCACACATTTCTGTACTG